GCCGAGTCTTCCGCCTAGTCCAATTTCTAAAGCTCTACGACCTGGATAGCCCCAGAGTCTTAGGGACGGAGGGTGACGACAATGCGATTACGTTAGAGGAAAAGAGGCGCACATTCTGGGTAGCCTATTGCCTCGACCGGTTCATTAGCGTCAGCGAGGGTTCGCCTATGACGTTGAACGAGGAAGTAGTGAGTTCCAATCTATCCTCGAATCAGCACGACGGAATGGAATCCAGGAGACAGTTGTGAAAAAGAAACTTATTCCCAATTTTGATAGGTATTTACACGTCTTCCATGTCCAGATGACGATTTCCAAAGAGGGCTTGTGCAACAAGAGCCCTTCTTAGCAGAAACTATGACATCTGCCGACATGAGACCATATGCGCCACTGGCAGAATGTGTGATTCTCATCACCATCTGTAGTCGAGCCCTCACCCACAAACAAATATACACAATAGAAACTTTGTATAGCAACATTCCGCTCGATTTTACTTCTAGACACGACTGGTTAGACGGTATACTTACACGGCGGCTTAATAACCTGCAAGTCAACTACCCCTCGTTGACTGTGGCTGAAAACCCGATGATTATTTACTCGTACATGATTGCGTATTCTGCTATCATGTACTTGTGCCGCATCATAGAGACGTTGTCTATAAGCGACCAAAGCCAATCTCTTGTGTGGGAATACCAAGATCGAGGGCTCTGGGCAGCTCAGGAAATATCTCGAATGGCGAAGGAACATGAGTATCTTGGTTACTTCAGGGCACATACGTTTATGCCTCTACCCATATATCTAAGTGTGGTGAGGCTTCGGACACACCTAGAGGTCCGAAAAGGAGATCTAGAAAAGGACGAGATGGAGAATGTGGAGAATTCACTCCACAGTTCCATCGAGGCGTTGCAGAAGTTGCAGTCGGTAAATAATCTCTCGAGTTATTACTTGCAACTTCTGTAAGGGCTTCTAATAATTCCTAGCTGCGCTAGGTTATGGGATAAGGTACAAATTGGAGCGAGGGCTATATATCCCTCTTCCTCCTTACATCTGAAATAGTGGACACCATTATTTTAGTATGATTACGTTAGGACGCATTCAACAATGCTGTCCGAACCATTAGGCATAGTATAGTCTGCAATGTTTACGTTAGAAATATACAAGTCATATCAGGTTGCTAAGTATAAAGGAAACGACTTTAGCTATATGTCTTATGTGAGAAACAAGTTGCCTCAGCATGATTCCATTTTTCGTGTTCTTAATTACGAATACGATGATAGTCATCTTTTACTTCCCGGAGCTCAATTATTAGAGGTGACGCCGAAAACGTAGTTTCGACATCACAAGATTAAGTTGATGCCATAATATTCGATACAATAACAGTAATAACGAAGCACATCTAGAAATCTCATATTTAATAGTCGCCTTCAGATTTTAAGTTGGTATTTCTCTATATAATATCTAATCGAAATAGTAGTATCGCCCAGAATCACGCAAGTGGGAGCTTCGTAGAACAGTGTCTATATTGACCTCCTTTTAAATGAAATCTGCAGACAAAGCCTGTTAATACAGCAATTTCTAACGTTTGTACAGTGGGCTAGCCTACAAAAGACTGTATCTAAAATCTTTCACCATCGGATACGGTCTCTAACCAATGATGAAATGTAATCAAGACCAAGTTGTAAGTACGTAGCATGAGACGACAGGAAGTATATGTGAAGCGGATAAGATACCTCCGAGAAAATCCGGCTTGATATAATAGTAGATCTATCAAGTACGAAGGCCGGCCGACCGGTGCTTGATGCAGTCGGCCGTACGGATGGGACAAAGTAGCATAAATTCCCGCCATCTAGGGAGCGCGCATACTTGGCTCTTATATGCGAATCTAGCATTAAATATTCCAGATACCGGTTGTACGAGGCAACGATCCGTCCCGGCGATGCTTGATCATACCTCATGTCCAGATCCTGTGCTACACAATATTAGATACCTACCAGAAAACAGGCAAATAGGAGTGTCTTATTTTTAAGCACAGGATCATCATCGGTTTCACAAGTCAGCAGCCACAGTACTCTAATTGGATATAGTCATTTGAATGGCTCAAGTTATACAAATATAGCAAGCCACTTTCGGTAGCTTAAGCACGTGGCAAACTGATAGTTGTCCCAATAAGGAACGCCGTGTCGCTCATTAAGATCTTATATACTCGGATACAAATATCATTCGACCTACCTAAGAGGTAGATATGTAGGTAATAATATTACAAAGGGGCGTTGTCCTTTGGTCTGGATAAGCTCTATATCTTGACAGCGCTATGTAACCCTCATCACCTCGAAAATCATGGCAACAGATGCTTATAAACTCCTCTCGACTACCAGCGGCTATCTCCGTCTTACTTCAACGGAAGCGGAAAGTGCCTTATTCTCCGCATGCACATAATCCGGTAGATTTTACCTACGCACTAGTTGGGTCGATCCAGTGTGAACCCGACTTGGCACTCTACAGAATTATACACTTATTTCGGTGGCGGCCTATTAAAATTCCAGACATTGGGGCTCAATGGCATACGTCTCGGATCATACCGAACGTGTCTGCAAGCCTTATTGATATTGAGCCAAGAACTACTTTTTAAGTGGAAGATTCCAGCCACATCAATGACCGTAGCGCATCTTACATTACATTGATGATCGCCTCGTACCACCGCCATCTGGGCTTGCCAAAGCTACCGAGTACGAGAAATTCTTCACTGTCTACGAGCTCACGGACACTGTCTATTAGATTCGGATATGCACCCCGAATAGGCTCCTTAGATCGAATGCAAGCGGCTCTGGGTAAATGTGGTTCTCATAGTATGATGACATGACCGACTGAGAGGTACCTAATCGGCGAAAAGAAACGGGCGGATCTGCAAGCTATCAACACCAATACCATATTAAGTACCATAGGATGTTACTACCCACGCCAAGTGACGCTATGGGTTTCAACCAGGCGCAGAGTAGGCCCTCGAATACTTAGTGTCCATTGTAGGCTGTGCTATCGCTCACGCAACAACCAATAGACGGATCGATTACTGAAGCATTCAATACAGAGAGCTGATGGCTCCGTCAGTATCCTAGCAGTCCTAGTAAGGACCCGGCTGACTAAAAATAACAATTGCATTCGAGGAACTCTCGAAGAGGAGGTATACGTAAGGTTAGCGTCGGTTCCTATCAGTGCTATCTAGCGATTTCGCTTATGCTTCATCTTTCATCTTTCAGGAGACTGATTCCTAAGACAACATATCAGGTCATCCCTGTTAGCTTTTAGATTCACGGGGAAAGCATAACGATGATGTAAATAAATATGTATATCTTATTAAATCTTAGACATGGCCACATCTAGCGATACAATACCCGATTATATCATTTCTTCAATGTCCCTTTTGAATGGGAAAATGACGAACATAACGATGGGGAAATCTTTTAGGAGTCCAACGTGTATCTACTCAAGTGATACCTTCTAACAGGTAGGGACGTGGCCTAAACTTGGATACCACATACGTATTAGGTTAGGTACCTAATGTATGGTCACATCTATATAACACCGATCAACTTGAATTTGCCTTCCGGAATCTACCATGGGCATGATCGGGGGAGTCGATTCTACGCGAACAGTCTTTTAAGGCACACATAATTCCATAATGTAACTGCGAATACCTGACATTGACGGATATTTGAACTGCTTGAGCTTCACTCTGCCTGGTAACTTCCGTACCATACATATTTCCGTCTCGCGGTATCTCAACTTAGCATAGCCTCTAATTCCAACCTGATATTCGTATCTGGAGTAATATCAGGTCAGTTACTCCTAGTTAATAACCATCTATATTACGTGCATATAGCACCTAAGTAGATCACTGATCACCCCACGTCACAATGTCTTCTTCCCTCGTGGCCATGCGATCGCATTTTGATGCTATTCCATTAGGTCCCTGGCCATTTTCCTGAATTCTAGGCGAAGCTCAATCAATTAATTCAATTCGATTATTTCGAATCTCAGTAATGCCGCCTCAATGTAACCTCGGAGTGGCAAATACTACCTACCTTCTAATTCGTGTAGATGAATGAATGATCCGCCGATGCTCTCATAGTCATATTGAACGAGTTCAGTATTTTTCTCCGACACAGGCGTGACTCCTATTGTTAGAATATCAACCCCATAACCTAGGGCCTAGGCTTTAGAAGCCTAACGAGCCACAAGCCCCCCCTTTTCTTAAAGCTACATAAGTCTCAATCCCTCCGAAGTGTCTACATATACGTCAAAAGCTCAAGATTACCTAATCTAATTTTCATAATTACTAGACGATTAATACAAATACTTTTATCCCTAAATATCTAGGTAGGTAATTTCTAATTAAACAATTCACATTAACTTTGTTGAGTTGGATAGCCGAATTCGCCGGCTACAAGGAATTTCCCTTTGCTCATTTCATAGGTATTCAGGTACCTCTTAGATGATGAAACATTATTTGGAATGATGATCAAGTTACTTTTGCCTTGGCCGTATCTGTCTAGCCCTTAGATGACTCTGATAATAATATCTAATACCTATGTTCTGATATGAAAGGTTTCTTAGTACAGCTCAATATCTAATTTTCCGTCTTCCGACCATAAGGAGTCCAGCACGGCTGACAGCCTCGTAGGCAGATATTTATAGGTCTGAAAGATGCGACATGGAAGTCAAGTGGCTATGCATTTTCTGCATCTCTGATTTGCGGTTATTGCCGCAGCAGAGTAGCACAGACACGTAGAACCCCCTCACCTCCCGCCTCTACCAAACCTCGTTCAATCTGACAAGAGCCTCGCGTTTGGATGATTGCATACTAAGTTGAAAATATACCATTACAAAGCTGCGCAGTCTTTCCATTGCGAATATTACCTAAAGGAGTTCGCGTTAGTTGGCGATAATATCGAAACATTCATTTCTCTAGGCTCAATAGAAAAGATAATGAGTGACTCAAGATAATAATGGAGGCCCTAGCAGCTGTAGGGCTGGCATCTAACGTACTCCAGCTCATTGTATGTGGGTACAAAGTCGTTTGGATGGCGAAGGAGTTACACGAATCTCATCAAGATTCAATCCAATCTAATAGCAATACTGCTTTTTTGGCGCAGGAAATGCGAGAACTCAGCACGAGAGTTATGAAAGACTTGCTATCATCTGATCTGACTGAGGACGAAATGGCTCTATATAGGTAGGTAGGCTTGCACAAAAGTGCAGTGACCTTTCTAATAGGCTCTTGGTGCTATTACTCGAAAACCTGAAAGTCAAGAAGCCGCGAAGCAAACGCGACATTATAACGACAGTTCTGAGAAATATAATGAAGAAGAACGAGCGGAATGAGCTTCAAGCAAACCTTGATGACTATAGGAAACAGCTGCAGATTCAAATAAGCATTATGTCTCGGTGAGCCTGTCAGTTATAAGTTCTATACGTATCCGATTCTAATCCAAATATAGCTCAGACCTAACACAAAAGCTTGAACATACATTGAGTACCACGTCTATATCCCAAAAGGAAATGCTACATCTGAGAGACCACGTACAAAAGCTCCAGCACAGAGTTGTGGTCGACTCGGATAATACGATGGCATTTTTCCGAAAGCTTCAGGAAATTGTAGAGATACCATTCAAGCAAGCCGCTATCTTACAAAGTCTCCGATATCCGAGAATGCATGATCGGTTTGAGAATGTAGATCCAGCGCATCGAAACACTTTCCAATGGCTTCTCGAGGGCCCAGAAACTCCTTCCGAAGAAGAGCAGCGAGAGTCTGTGGTAGAGGACAACAACCATGGTCCATACCACTGGTACCAATCTAAATACTACGTCTAATCAAGCAAAATACCAACAGTATAAAGAATTTTCTACATGGTTACGAGGAAGACTCGACCACCTTCATGTCGATATACCTGGCCGTGTTCTGGGAAAGTTACGAGGCAGAAAGTTGCCATGTCATTTTACTAGTAATTTTGGTGGCCAGGTGCATACACTTGTTCTGTGGGGTAATCTACCTGGAAGGGCTGGTATGAGCTGGCAAGGTAATCTATAATCTAGATTTAGCATCATTCATTATGAAACCCTGGCCCCCAACCTCAACGGATTCAACGCCCTAGGGGCCCTAGGGGTCAATCCAACAAAACTTGTCCGGTTTTACCCAAATTTAAAAAGAATGAGGGAATACGAGTACGCGTTGATGCTTGTGTGTATTTATTATTATATGTGTACCTAAGGTTGTAAAAGGTTCTGTGTTTAGGTTCTGTGTTTATAGTTCTCAGATTTATTAGTGACATTAACACCAATGCCCCGTGGAGTGTGGTTTTCAGCAAAGTCGTAACTGTAGTGAACTACTCATCAAGTGCCAAATTCTGGCAATATTCTGCTCTTCTGGAATATATATCTACCTACCTAGGTAGGTAAACTATTACTGAGGTATAGGCGAAGGAAGAAGGGCGTGGGGTGATTCCCGTAATCCCTTCCATGCCTTCGCCTTCTTGAAAGGATATTGGAGCCAGGCTGCTACTACTGTTTAAGCCAGTGATGAAACGTCTTGGAAAGAGCTGTCACGCAGCTGTGCTTAAGAAGCATCCAAATAGACAATCTGAGGCTACAGGTAACAGGTGGTATTTTAATTAATATAAGGCTATAGTATCTGTATGTGCCTTGTATTTCCCTGTATTCCTTATAAGAGGCAGAGTAGATACGCGGGTATTGGATTCGTCAAGGCGAGCCAAGTAATTACCTTCTTGGGGTCAATTGAAACTATTCACAAATTACTTTAGATGCGCGTCGGAGTAATAGAGCCCCTGCGGGAGCTACTACAATAATCCCGAATTTAGCCAATCCCTCCTGGCCTCTGAGATAGTTATTCTAAGTGCTTAGTAGGTCAATTAGTTGGGTGGTATTAGGTATGATTGCATTATCTACCTATGTAGGGACGTTGTAAAAGGATTAGAATGTTCCACGACCGGTTGCGTAGCTTCTTCTAATCTCCCTTGACCATTTTCGACTATTACAACAAATATCTTACGCAATTCTAATACCAGTTCTCACATATACCTACCAAAGTCAAACCTCATGTTGTTGTTGATACTAAACTGTCTCGCCAGACAATCTCAATGATGGAATGAACCGAATAAGGAGGCGAGACGATGGATTCGATACTGAATCGTTCATCAGCTCTCGATAGAAGCTCGGACCACTCCTCCCTTGTTCTCTCCTTTGCATTCAACCCCATTTTCACCATCAAGTCGTGAGCACTATTGCTATCACTTAGTCTCAAGAATATTATGATTCTCGTTTTGAAACGGAATAGACCTCAGCTTACCATTGTGCCTGAATTGTAAGCGAGCTCACGGTCTGCGAAACATCCATACAAATGTCATTGATCAGTATCCGAGCTCCTTTTTTCATTGCAGGAATCTGGTTTTTAAGGATTCTGATGGCGTAATCGTCCGGCCAATCGTGGAGGACAGTCCTAAAGATATATACGTCGGCATCTTTAACGACCTGCTCGGTGAAAAAGTCATATTCCTGATACTCGATACGGCCAGCGAGTTCAGACGAGATCAATGCTTCGGTATCGGCTCTCGTGACTTCTGGCAAATCCTCAACAACTGCCCTTTTGATATCCGGGTAGCGCCTCAAAAGGGCTGCGCACAAGTCGCCACGGGAGCCACCAATATCTACTATAACCTGAGGGCATCCCCGTGTGGTAGAGTTTTGCATGTGTGCCCACGGCACATTGTTCACGAAATGATGGGCGGAAGTCTCTGGAACTGTGGTAACCCAAGACATGGCATTAGTGAATCTCTGGTACCGGTCGGGGTGATGTGATACAACTGAGAATATATCCGTGTCGCCAGAACTTCCATTGGTCAAGGCAAGCGCAGACTCTCCGGCCTTAACAGAGCCTGGGAACCGTTGGAGTGCCTCGGGGAACTTCGTCACTGCTGGGGCGTATTCCTCAGTTGAGAAGCCTATTGCATCGTGGCATAAAGGGGTTGCAAGGGCTGTAGATATAGCAGTATGTCTCACAACTCCTGCAGGGTTCTCTTCAAAAACTCGCATTGACATTGCTGCTCGTAGGATACGCCTCAAGTCAGACTCGATCAAGCCACAGCGCTCCGACAGTTCGACATATGATATCCCGCTTTCTGTTGGCACGTGCTCCGCTACCTTGAATCGGTACAGCACGTTGAACACTGCTGTCCAAACCGGCTGCCATGATTAAAAGTTAGGTCTCAACTTTGTATCTGTGGCGCGGTATCACTTACACTGATCACAGAGGTGAAGAAAAGGAATGAGGTTGGGCCGAGGACCAGCGCCCGCATCTCATCCAAAGCTTCAAGGAGTTCTGCACGACACTCCTCGATGTGCTTGGTATATTCGTGCGTCTGCATTGAAAATCCAGCAGACAGTGAGGGCTGCGGCTCGTTTTCTGCACGATGCCAATCTGCTATTGTATTCGCTCGGGACTGGATAATGTGCCCCAGTTCGGGCAAAGATCGTGAGCTCGTCATGGCTGAAACAGTTCCAACTCTTTGGAACTAATACAGGATAAATTATTTGGAACCGACTTGTGGACTAGCGGGGCTGTAATACTACCTTATATACCTTGCCTCAGTACTCACTCACCCTAAGGTATGTATGTACCATGTAGGTTAGGTACCCTTTGATGCAGATGATTATGTACCTAATCTATGTACCCCTAGGTTAGGTAAAGGTAGGTACCTATGTCAGCCTGTTAATGTAGCAAATAGAGGGTCTATAAAGACTGATTATATTGAATATATTCGCAACACCAAGCAGCTCGTGCCTAAGCATTGGTACCCCCGCAACTACAATTCAGACCTCACATTGAGCCACGTGCTATTGAATGAGACAGTATGTTCAGTACGGCTACATATCATTTAATGAAATGTGCGCATGACACATATTCAAACACAAGTCCACCTGCGATGGATACTCCTGTGGACCAGAAGTCACTCACGAACCACCACCAACAATCAGCCTCATCTTTTAGATCTACGCTAGCGATCATGGTCCCAAGAGATAGGAGAGAACCTCCAAGTGTGATAATGTAATATCCGATCCCTAAAGCAGATAGTTGCCCGTACAAGACGATGAACGTACACATGAAACCATAACACACCCACAAGAATAGCTTCGTATAGTTTCCGAAGAGCACAGCAGTGCTTTTAAGCCCGATCTTGATATCATCCTCGATATCTTGATATGAATAGATGGTATCGTAGATCACCGTCCAGAAGATAGATACGAGAACTAAGCACAATGCGGATCGATCTTTCCACGGCTGCTCTGCGCCGACGGCCGCACAGCCAACGATAATTCCCCACGCAAGGCAAAAACCAAGCACAAATTGAGAAAAATATGTATGTCTCTTGGACCACGGGTAATAAATGGTGAAAATGATGGTGGGAGTCGTGGCTATTGCCGCTGATGGTGTAAGGAACAGTAAGAACGAGGCGGCGATGAGAGCCTGAGTAATAATGAAGATAAATGCTGCCTTTGGTGATATCGTGCCCCTAGCAATGGGCCGATTCTTCGTCCGAGCGACACAAGCATCTATAGGCCTATCTATAAGGTCGTTCCATGCGTGGGCAGCGTTAGAGAAGAAGAGGGAGCCGCCTAGGAGTAAAACACAGATTGGCAGGACTTGGGTGACTGGTGACTGGTACGTGATTGCTGCGTGCAATATACCGAAGAGGTGTGGAAAGTATATTAAGACAAGGCCAGCGGGTGGGCTAAGACGAGCGAGTTGCACGTATGGAACCCAAGAACGAGGCAGTCTGTCCACCCAAAGGCTTTGATGGACGCCGCCATATTGGTAAGAGAGCTTGTTCCCCTTTTCGTCTGATCTGACGGATGAGGAAGCACGGTTTCGTATGTCGTTCATTTTCTGAGCTAATAGTAACCGAGTATGTAGTTTAGGTTGACAGAATGTTAAGTGAAGTCATAGTGCCAAAGACGCCAACAACGCACTTTTATGTAAGATTTTACCATGCCCGTCTCCAGCGGATCTTCATGTCTCTATCCGGGGGTACAGCCGCAGCTCCGGCATATTTCTGGTCATTGAAAGCGGGGCGGTCAGATCGAGACCCATCAGATTGGACCCATCCCATGAACTCGATGTCGAATTTGGCAACAATAATGGCGACTGCCATCATGATCTCCCGCTTCGCAAAATGCCGCCCGGGGCATAGGGCGTAGCCTCCACCTATCCCTGAAGTTAGCTGCGGTTGGGTCTAAGAAGTGCATATAACACATGCTATAACACATGCAGGCTAAGCTTTAGAAATTGGACGTGTAACGCACCAAATGGAAAAAACGACGTTGGCCGAGCTTTGATCGAAAACTGGGGTCGTGGGACATTACCGTCCACACCGGCCGCAAATTCCAAGTGGCGTTCGGCCCAAAATTCTGTGGCCCCATGCTTATCTGTTGCCCATACAGCTTCATCGTAGTGAGCGATTTGGGACGCAGACTGTAGCAATGAGCCTTTGGAAATGTGGTATCCATCAATTGTGATGCTTTCTCGTACCTCGCGGGTTACATTGAAGGATATATGCATCCGCAAGACTTCGGTGTAAACGGAGAGCAACCGCGGCAATAGGAGGAGCTTGTGTACGTCGATGTGGTGTTTTCCTGTCTGTTGGTCAATCGTAAACACCTGCATTACTTCGTCATTAATTGCTCGCAGTAGAGGCGGGTCTTGGATGAGCTCCATCAATATCCACGCCGATATAGGCAAAGTATTTCCATTCAGACTTAGTAACTCATTAGTATGCGGCTCTCGTGTCACCCGAACCGTACCTACTCACCCGAATAGTGTGGCCGTGGTATGTCCGCTACAAGTCCGGTTTGAGAAACCTGATTCCCTGAGCCACCTGGCGATCTCGCGAGCAAAGCGCGAACCCCAATATGGGTCCCAGTCGGACTGGGCCTCTGGACCGTTCCAGTCGAAATTCTCCCATGCATCTTCTACCTGTTTATGTACCATATCGTGAAGACGCTCACGAATATGCCGGGGTTTAGGCTTCAGAAACTTTGGAAGACCCCAAACAAGGACGCCCGCGACTTCGTCGAATTGCCAATAACACTTGACGAGATCAGGGTTGAGTTCTAGAATGCGGGAGCCAAACATGGATTTAATCGCACTCTCAGCCATATCGGTCCTGAGAAGACTGTAAATCTGAACGGTAGTCCATTCGGATGCAGACTGCTGATCAAGTTTCTCGGAAAAGAAACGTAAGAAAATATCAGCGAGCACGCCAGTGTACTTTGCACTGCTGAGGTACTCTGCGTAGATTTGGTGATGATTAAACCAATGTCTTTGGCGTGGAGAGGTGGCCTCAGTACCGGGCAAGGGAACCCTCTGCCGACCAGACTTGTCATTTTCGAACTTTTTGATTTCATCCCTGGGCATGCCCCAGTGGGTATCCATAAGCAACACATGAAACATGTTTGGATCTACAATGTGTGGCGGGCCAAATAGTACCTGAGTGTTCTTTTCACCAGATACTAGACAGACGAGCTTAGCACCCAATCTGAACTGGATGATATTGCTTTTGTTCAAAGCTTTGCTATAGCACCCGTGTCAATCGTAATTCTAGTATCATCCGAGAGGGTTGTCACAACTCTTACGTTGCCCGTTCTAAGAATTTCCCCATGTCTGTGAGATACTGGTACGTATTTGAAATGAAGGGTATGTCTTCTTCCAGCCAAGGGGGGTGCTTCGTCTCCTTTCGCCGCCAGAATACTAGTAGTAAAATGAGGCCGATGGGAAAAGAGAGGGCAAAGGCAAGAGCAATCTCCATCATAAATATATTGAGCGAATTGGCATGATATCAGACACAAGGTCGAGAATGGCTAAGGGTGAGGGGGATGGTTTTATATTGAGTTATGACAGCTGGCGCCTGGGTGCAGCTGTTGCCCAAGTGCTAACGTGCCAACGTGCCAACGTGCAAACTTCCTATCCTGACGTCCACATCCTGGACCAAATGGTTGTTTATATCGAATAGTATATGTCAAATGGTAGGGTATTCACTGAGGTTCCTACAATCCCCAGGTTCTCTCACGCAGCGGTCTTTAGCTACGAAAAATATGAACAATACCAAACTCCCATTATGGAGTATGGAGTTGAGTTGGTTTTGTGGTGAGGTGACCACTGATCCCTTACCTGCCACGTTACTTGCCACATCTCCAGCCACATCTCTAGACCAGAACTCCACAGTTAATCAACTATGTGACCAACTCAACTCAACACACGATGGCTTCAAACAGAGTTAGTTTGGAAAATTTAAACTGGGCCTATGGAGTTGGATTGAATGAGTAGCTTTGCAGTATGTGTACACGAGTGAATTTCAATTGAGTTGATCTCAGCGCTGAGAATAAGTTAATTCAGGCATGATGGAATACTTGGCCACGGCAGATTGCCTACAGGTTAGACCTTTCAAATTTAGAGGAAATGTGACATGATCAGGCCGCCTAGTCAGAACCTTCTGGTTGTCAAATCCGTATAAATGATCAGTCCATAACATTCTTTAGAGCTGTGTTGTCCTTCGTGATCTTGGCCCAGTCCAAGCTCTTTCGCCAGACTCTTTGCTGTACACGCTCATCCATTGTAATGGGGTCACTGTCATCCTTCTGCAGTAAGGTAAAGTAACCTTGTTCACTCTGATATGCCTTGTCTACTGCAAGTTTTATAACATCCTTGGCCGCCTCGGCTGATGAGCGGAATGTCGGATCGGCTAGGCGATGGATTATTGACATGAATGGTTTGAGGACGAATTTCTGGGCGAGCTGTACGGATCGGGGAGTATTAGAAGTAAAGGCACGCGAATCGCCGAGTCCACCTGGGTTGATAGCTACGGCGGTGATGTTCTTGAACTTTGGGTTCTTGGAGTAAGGTATGTTATTAAATATCTGACTTGGAGCGATGATTTTATGCGTCGTACGATAAAGCTGAAAACTTACTTGCTGCAGGTAACGGTTAAGGGGGTACATCCAAGTTGTGATAACAAGCTTGGAATTCGCGTACCGTTGAAAGCCACGGCCCTTCTTGTCCTCGCTTGCGGGCGGGTGATTGAGCTGATCGACATCATCAGGAATATCAGGCAAATAGGACGTCATAGCATTCGGTTTGCGATAGTGGCCAATGCTTGAGAAGAGCACGATACGGCCGTCGGAAGCGAAGCTACCAATGAGTCGCAACACGAGGGCGACATGCGCGATATGGCCAACCTGTAGAGTTTTGTCATAACCATCTGTCGTAAGCTCGGAGTCGCCGACGAGGTTCCAATACGAGGCACAGCATATGATGGATTTGAGGGCCGGATACTCCCCAGTCTCAACCGCCTTCGATATCTTGCTAGCGAATTCATGCACTGCCGAAAGATTTGCTAAGTCAACCTGATAAATCGAGGCCTTCGCGTCTGGGTAACGCGCGATGACTTGACGTAAGTTCTGTGTATTGCTATCGGCCTTGTCGGCATTCCTAACAGTAAAAATGGCAGTAAATTGAGGGTACTCTTTCAGAAGCTGTTCGGCTGCGGGGATGCCAACTGAACCGTTGGCTCCAGTAAGGATGACAGTGCCAGCCATGTTGGATGATTAGGGATTAGGGTGAGGGCAATATGACAAGAGGAAACTTGATGGACGACGCTGTCTACAATAACTCACAAACGGTAAAGTTGACAGTGATGCGGCACCAAAGCTCACGGCCAACTTAGGCAGAATCTGGCAGATGTAGGGATAGGGATAGAGATGTGAGGTAGATGTGAGGTAGGACAAATTAAGAACTCCTCCAACTACAATTGGAGGCCAGCCCAACTCCCAACTCCCAACTCCCAACACCCAATCTCCAGCTCTAATTAATTTCATTTTTCCTTTCTCCGTGATCTGACATATCTTTTCTTGAGTGTCGCACGGCCTCCTCAATACGGAAGGTTGTAGACTTACCGAGTGTGTGCCTAGGTACCTAATATAAGCATAACGTAAGGCAACCAACAGAAAGGATTAGAGGAGGATAGGATGTTGTATTGAAAAGAAAAAGGTTGTAATATCTAATACATGTATCTCCAACATCCCCCGCCCCCACGTTACCAGGCATTCATTGAGGCTCTTTAGCCCCGCCGCTTTGATGCGCGCCCCTCATATGTACGAGACGAGTCCCGCCAGTGGATGGTCCGTGCGTAGCAACGGATCCACACATACGTAGGTTAGGTACCTAGGTACATATGTATCACTTTAAGCGCGACGTCGGCACCATAGGGTTTTCCGGGTCCACAATACGTGCATATCGAAGCAAGTTTCAAAGATAAGGAGGATCGCAGTTGCTTCAATGTTCTAATTCTTGCTGCATGTTGGCCTCTGTGTCACTGTGACACGAAAATCGGTAATGACCCATATGCGGCCGCCTTTAGCTTGCCAAGGGCGGCTAGGATTGGCAAGAGCGAAGTCAAACCGGCGAAATAACTTTAGAGGTGGGTTTGGTATTAGCATATTAGCATATGTATTAGCATCAGCCTAGGGGCTAGACCAACAAAATGCCCCCAGCCTTCAATGTTCAGTTACCTACTACCTACATAGAGAGCTGAGAGGTACCCACCTCGACAAAGAATTTGTTCATCTGCGCGAGCGCCAATCCTTTCCCAATACATTCCCACCTGCTAGGTCCACCGAAGACAATTCTCCATGTTTCGTCTTATCTCAGGTGACCTTAGACCCGAAATTTTCGAGTCGGGCTGCGCCCGCCTGCGCCACGCAACGCGTGGTCTATATGTTTGTACTTATAGGTTACGGGCAAAGCATTCGAAAATTTCTGGTTTAAGACTGTACGGCATTGTAAAAGTCTTTAACGTTTTTATTAATGATAAAAAAATCAAATATTATATTTATAATAATTTAATATATTATAATAACGTACGAAATAATTTTAATTTTAATAATTTAAAATTTATAATATATTTTTTTTAACTTTTTATTTTTTTTATATATTTGTAAAATATTGTTTTTTTATATATTAAACTTTAACGTTTAAAAATTTTTAACGTTTTAATTATTTAATATTAAGTTTTATATAAAATATTTAAATATAATAATTTAATATTTTATAATTATATATAAAATTTTTTTTTTTTAATAACTTAAAATTAATATATTTTTTAAACTTTTAACTTTTTTTATATATTTATGGTTTTATATATTAAATTTTAACGTTTATTACGGTTACCGTTATAATTAATATTATAACCGTTATTACAATTAACGCGTTATAACCGTTATAACCATTTTTAACACTTTAAAAAACTTAAAACGCGTAAATTTAATTAATAAACTTAATAATAAAATTAATATAATTATATAATTAATTATTATTTATTATAAATATGTATTAATATTATTATTTTAATAATATTATTAATATTATTATTTTAAAACGTTAAACATATAATTTTAATATGCAAGGTTTTAAAGTTGCCTTAAACCATAGATTCGAGATTGTTTTAAAGGATTATTCCGGGGTTTAATTGGTTAAAAACAAATATGGCTAAGGGAGGTACAACCCCACGAACGATCTCGAATTTGTGGTCTGAATTTACTGACCATGAGACAAAGTCTAGGCCCCTCAGCCTCCAGCCATCGCTCGGGTCTGAACATGTTGGAGTCTTCGCCATAGATCATCTTGTCCCGTACGGCGCTTTTGATTGATAGGTCGACACTCACGCCTGCAGGGACTCGTATTCCGCACACCTCTGCATTGTGAGCACAGGCTTTCGGGATTAGTGCCGCCGGTGGCAGCAGGCGTAGACCCCTTTGATATATTATGCGAACCATTTTCATGATATGGTCGTCGATCTGCTCATGGGCCTGGGAGACACCTTTCCCATTATACCCTGGTTCGAGCTTGTAGCGCAACTGATGATGTGTGCTTCTATCTATCGTAGTAGACATGGAATCTACCCCAGGTGCTGATCGAAAGCCCCTGTAGACATGACTGCGTTCCCAAGTTGATCGAGGGTGCTGGATCCGTCGGATTTCGTTTGGATCGCTTAAGGATACCCAACAGGGACCTATGCACTAGGTGCACCAACTTTTATTACAGAAAATTGGAGATTCTTACGCGAAGAGGTCGAATTTATGAGGTCGCTCTAGGGCTGTGATTAATACGTCTCTATTGGACCTACTAAGGTAGGTAGGTACCAGAAGGCAAACATCCGCCTACTGCGCGTATAGCACCTTTATAATACAAGCTGGCTCCCCCCTGTCCATCCTACATACCTCCTTTTTTCGTCTAATAGCAGCCTATTTCAGTAAACCTGCTCCCTACACCAGTTTGAACGCCGAAGAAAATGGAATATTCAGACTCGGATCAGGTCATTCAAGTGTAAAATACCCGTCGTTTGGAACGAATGGAACTGAAATCATATTAACTGCGATTAGACTAGATGGCATCGTGAGCACACGTGTAATACATCACCCAGACAGGGCTTTCGCCTTTGAAGTCACACTTGATCTACTAAAAGGTGCCAAATTCTTTGCTCAAAAGCCTCCACTTCACTTTCACGCAAATCAAGCCGAGTATATCCAGGCAATCCAAGGGAAAACAGGACTTGAGCTGGAAGGGCGGGAAATTGTGCTTTCGCCAGGCTCTCCGGAATATTACATTGGAAGCTGGGTAAACCACCGCTCATATCCCATTTCCATACCCCTTCAAGACGGCGTGGAAAAGGTGAAGTTTCTATTATCGGGTGCTAAAACCCCCGAGCCCTTCCAGCTCAACACTCTGTTCTTCGAAAATTGGTACAGATACCAGGAAAACGTATTGAGTACAGGCAAGAGGATTGACCTCATTCAGATCCTTAGCGTGAGTTGATAAAGAACTACCCTGGGCGAGTCATTGTTGTGGGATTTAGAATGGGGGCTAATCATTGTAGACGTTTGACGGTGGAGGGACATACCTATCCCCCCCATCCTGGATGCCTTGCGGTGGAAGAATATCACAGATATTTGGTGTCGTTGTGGGCAGGTGGTTGGGGGGCCTCTTGGGGTACCAGCCCTTTTATCGAGAATGGTCCTCTGATTGGGAGCTCGCCTGTCGTCAAATGCAGACTTCCATATTCCAACGGCGGTTTGCGAAGTTCCATAAGGCGGATTGAATACGCTCTCATCACTAGCGTTGGAGTTGAAGACGGTGTTGGCGCCACTCCCACCTAGTATTCTCGGCGAATTTCCTCGATATTTTGTGCCCCTATAGTACACATGTGCGCAATCAAAGATGACTAGCCAACATACTCGTGAATCCAGTTAGTTAGATTTGTAGAGTTGCATATCATGATGTCTTACATGGTGCTAGTGATTTATGCAATACTACGGTGCCAATGAATTTGCATTGCACCAACATTCGGGGTTAGAAAACAAGGTGTGTACATAATGGTGCCACCTCTAATTCCATCCAAATAGTACGGCGCTTCATATCTAGAGCCTTACATGCGTTGAGTTTAGCCCACTGCGAAGAATTGCCCAGGTAAGCGCAGGTACTAGGGCTCCAATCGGAAGGTCGTTCCGTGAGTGTTCCAATATTAATTTCAGTGAGTGAAACAGAGCCCGACCTTGTGGCATTCATTGGCTTAAGCCAAATAAATATGGCTTGCAGCTTCGTGAGCTGGGACCGGGGGCATCATTAGGACAATCATACAGTACCTAGGGTTACATTTCCTTCTATTACATCTTTTCATAGTACGAAATGATTAAGGTCGCAGGTGGAATGGGACGACGCTGCCTCACAAGGAAATTGTAACAGGAGACAAGTTTTCCCCGAAGGCTTTCACTATGAACCCACGAAAATCAATACATGATTATTAGTAAAAAGGTAGGTACTAGCAAGAACATGTCTATTTAATTAGGCAAATTTCTTTCCGTGATTGAGAGACGAGAATTCTACCTATCAAAATCATTATGGCGTCGTTCGCATCTTTTCTTTCCATTTTATTGGCTTGCTTTGGCCTGTCCACAGCAACCTTTAAGAGTGAGCCTGTTCGTCGAGGGGCTTCCGAGATATGCCAGGAGCTGAATTCGACTTTAAGCAACATCATAGTCACAAAAAACGAAAATGATTACGAGACGCTTAGGACGGAAAACTGGTAAGTATATCATGGAAGCAAAACGTAGCCCAGCTCACACTGTTTCAATAGGGTTCAGACAGCTTGGGGGGAGCCCACTTGCATTTTCCACCCTTTAAATGTCCAAGAGATACAAACGGTACTGCCTATACTTGTGAAATCCAATGTGAGATTTGCAGTCCGTTCTGGTGGCCACTCACCACATCATGGGTTCGCCAACATCGATGACGGAGTACTGATCGACATGTCCAACTTCAACGGCATCAAATATGAAGCTGAAAAGGATATTGTCACGGTTGGTGTAGGGCTTACCTGGGGTGACTTATATACCGATCTAGAGCAATATCAGATGACCGTTGTAGGCGGAAGAATATTGGACGTCGGTATAGGAGGTCTTACCTTAGGAGGTAAGTTGCCTCTTTCTACCCCCCTCTGGGCAAACCACTGACGCAACTTGCAGGAGGACTCTCTTGGCTTACTGATCTTTATGGCCTCGCTTGCGATAATGTTGTCAATTTTCAGGTATTATCTCATATCAGAGGACTTGAAATGGATCTAACAGTTAGTAATTAGGTCGTCCTGGCCGATGGTTCTATAGTTAATGCTAATAATGAAACTAATGTGGACCTTTATGGAGCTCTCAAAGGAGGTGGCAATAATTTCGGTATGTTTGTCAATCATAGCTGCCATGCGACTTCCTTGGCACTAATTATATCGACGAAGGCATATTAACAGAAGTTACTCTCATAACCTACCAGTTAGGCCAGGTTTGGGGTGGAATTAAGACCTATACTATCGAACAATTCCAGGATCTCATAACGGCTTATTCAGAGTACCAATCTGTAACTGAAAAAGATCCGTATGCCAACTTGATTATCTTACTTTCGCCAACAAACAATACTATCGGGATATGGGTTTCTATGGTATACCTTAAACCAGAAGAGAACCCAGCTGCTTTCAAGCCATTCTACTCTATAAATACTACGTCTGACAGCACGAGGATCAAGTCTTATACGGAATACCTCGCAGAGTATGCAGTACCCAAAGAGCAACGGTGAGCACATCGTTCTTGATTTTAACTCGATTCAAAGGTGCAATTCAAGCTCAGTTCTAATAACAGTCGGCAGATTTGATTGGTTTACTACAAGCTTTAATCTCAACCAATCTCTATACACTGAGATTGCCAATACCATAACAACATCCGAAGTAATAGAAACTGTTAAATCCGCGACTGCAGGTTTCATAGGAATCACATGGCAACCTATATCCCAGAATGTGGCTGGGCTTGGAAAGGCCCGAGGTGGCAACAGCCTCGGCCTGCAACCAGTAGCACAAACCTGGCTTGCCACAGCAGTCTCTTGGTGGTGGCCTGATGACGACGGGAAAGTACATGGTGCTGGAAACGATATGGTAAACGAAATCGAATCTGCAACTATTTCGGCACGAGACCATTTGTCTTACAAATTCATGAATGATGCCAGTTGGAGCCAACAGGTTATATCTAGCTACGGCGGGGAAAATGTTAAGAAACTGGAGGAAATACAGAAAAAGTACGACCCGAAATCTGTTTTCCAGCAGCTGGTTCCTGGTGGATTTAAACTACCCATAGAACCTTGATGAATCTTAGCACTGGAAAGTGTCATACAAACCGAGTAAGGGTGAATATCAGGTCATTGGTCAGGGAAGTAGTAGGTATGTAGGGACCTACCTACTATCTCCCTAGGCACTGTTAGCTGAATACCTACCTGTCTATCAAATTACCTCCTAATGACATCTATACATACACTTGAGATCTCTACTTGCCATTCTGCATACCTTCTTACTAGGTATATAGGTACCTAGGGCAAGTTCTATATTTATGATCGGAAATTGGAACGCTTCCTCGCTTACGGCGAGAATGACATGCATAAGAAAAAGGATTAAGACAACAGATGCGTCCCGTCTGACACTAACATCACTGGCTATGGCGGTTGCTAAAACAAGAAAGACACCTCGAGGTCTTTCAAGGAAAATCCATGCCAGTTTCGTTACATACAGTACTATGTAGTATAGCGTTGCTGATCCTGTGTAACCTTGCGTGTAGGTGGTAACATTCAAATGGTGATAGGTATATGGAAGGCAATTAAATGCGACAAGTGGCGTTTGATAAATTAACTCCCCTCTTGCACTCTTGCATAATGGATAGACTACATCTTTGATCCAAATATATAACCGCCGATGCAATACTAGATTAGTCTCCACCCCGGTGCTTGCTCACCGGTTCATTCTGCATGTGAATGGCACAATAATTTGGCCGATGCGCCTGTTGGTACTTGGTGTGGTTCGAAAATGCGACACTGTCTTCCTGCGAGACTCACGTCTGACAGAGCCTCGTCTCTGTTCAGGCTGTCACTAAAACATACGAAAAGGAATGTACATTACTTACAAGGCAGGTCCCTAGCAATTCCATTGAATATTATCCTATATCTTGAATTCTTGGTATGCCGTTCAATTACTCCGCTTTTCTCTTTTTCGAAGACCGTAAAAGCCCAGAACTTGAAGAGCTGCGTAGACCATCGATATGTCATCGCCTGAAGAGATTGAGTCCTTGCTGAACGGTCCAGCCCTCCCACCACCTGATGGTGTCGAACCCAATTTTGAAGATCCACCCAATCACAATGCCCTGGGGTACGGTCTTCTCTCTGCCATGTTAGCAGTGGGCACCATAGCTATGTTCTTTCGTATCTTGGCAAGAGTCATCAAGCCAAAGAGGTTTTATATTGAAGATGGTACGTCCTACGAACCAAGCACAATCGAGATTCCATCTAACTCTTCACGCCAGGCTTGAGCATTGCTTCATTTGTAAGGACTCGTCCTAAAGGATGAAGAACGCCCTCTGACTTTGCTTGTTATAATTTCTTAGGTACTATTTGTGGTCTACCTCGGTTGTGCTTACCAGGTTCTTAAATTTCCTGGCTTTTATGTCCATCAATGGGATGTTCGAGTGCGAGATATGGAGCGTATCCTATATGTATGTGTCCCACACATTGCGTGGTGTGAATGGTTATCCCTGTTACTAATCGCCGCAGCCTTTCAATATAGCCTCAAATTCTTACAACGGCATGATCGGTGCACTAAAGGTTGCCATACTTTTAGAATGGTTGCGAATATTCAATCCTACTGGCACCCGTGGTACATTCTTTTGGGCATGCCATATTATCTTATGGATCAACCTTTTATTCTACGCAGCCTCTTTCTTTGCCATCAATCTTGCATGCATTCCGCGCCAGAAGATATGGGACAAGACAATTTCAGGTGGTCACTGCTTCAATCAAAACGACCTGTATCTTGCTGGGACCATCGTCAACCTCATCTCGGACGTAGCGATCCTGATAATTCCTCAGCGAGTTATATGGTCCCTGCAAATGACTTTCAAACGGAAGATAGGAATCTCACTCATCTTCGCTATAGGATTGCTGTATGTGATCATTCAATCAAGCTAGATAATATTCAGTTTTACTAATGCTGGCGGAAAATAGCTGTTGTGGGATTGCAGCGGCTCGAATTGCGACTACCCTGGAGAGTGCCAAAGAACCAGATTCGGTATATTACTTGCCTAAACTGGTTTTCTTGGGGACCGCGGAAATGTTATGCGCACTACTTGTGTTCTGTTTCCCGGCTTTCCCTCAGGCAATCAAGACTCTAGCTCTTCCCCAGTTCATCTCTCAAATATCCCTACTCTTATCGTCACGGAAGTCTCGCCAACAGAGTTCCTGGGACGGCAGTGTGGATTTATTTCAACAAAGTAGCTATTCGGGAGGACCGGCTGCATCTTATCAACAAATTAACGAGCATAGCCTTGAACCTCTCAACAAGACCGAGCATGATAACAAGCCAAGGATCTATTACAAACCAACAAATACAGCAATGTAACGAACGTGTTATGCCTTAGGTAAACTTAGGGATATTGTGTTGGTTGTCTTTTTATATTTTTAGGGAAATGGGTCAAAAAAATATTGAAAGAAGTAATTTATCGGTTATGACGAACCTATATTTAATTTAAGATGTGACCCGAAATCTCTTATTTCCCTGTAACTACTAGCGTTTCACTCGTTCTCACGATCTCAACACATTCAATCAGATCATGAGTAATTACATCAATATTGCCTTAATAATCGCCCTAATAGTACGTATCGGCTGTTACATTTCCTTATTATGTAATTTTGGTTGCCAGTTACTTGCATGGAAGGTCTGTCATGGTAATCTGTAATAGGTAGCATCCCTCTTCTTCATAGACGGGTTGGACGAGTTTAGTGGCCGTTTTATTGGGTTGATAAAAGAGATTATCAATTGGACAAGAATTCATCCTACGTGTCTCAAAATATGTGTGTCTAGTCGGCCGTGGAATGAGTTTGAGATCGGATTTAAGGATTATCGGAGCTTTCGAATCAATGAGTGGACGCGAGAGGACATCAAGATCTTTGTTGAAGGCAGATTTGAAGAACTCTCAGAAATCTCTCCTTTAGTCAGCAAGCATGATCTCAACTCACTAGCTGGCATAATCGTTGACAAAGCCGAAGGAGTTTTCCTCTGGGTTGGTGTTGTCCTATCGGCTATCGAACAAGGAGTACTGAATGGCGATGAGCTCCGAGACCTTAGACGTAAGGTAGCTGCCTTCCCGACAGAGTTAAATGATCTGTACCAACATCTCTTCGATTCAATTGCCGACTATGACCGTCAAAAGGCATTCGAGTTTCTAAGTCTTACTTATGACATTGGTATAACAAGACCTACACCTATACTTCAGCATAAATTTCTAAACGACCTATCGATTGACCCAGATATTGCAATCAAATTACCCGTACAACCGTTACCAGAGGCTGAACTATGAAGAATTACAGATATCGCGAGGCGCCAGGTCAATGGGTTATGTAAAGGTTTCCTTGAAGTAGCCTCTATACGAAAGGACGTGTATAAAGACATGGAGGGTGTAAGATTCATGCACACAACCGCCGTGGAGTTTCTTTCTAAACATTCAAGACTCATTAAATCTCATCTCAGCGGAATCGACATGATGGATCGAGCATGCCAGTCATTTCTCGCTTTTATAAAGTCGATAAGCATCAACGAATTTTACGTTCTAAATTCCGAGGTTTCACGGGACGACCCCTTTCTAACGTCCGAATTTATACATCGGCTCACACGCATCATGGAGATTTTCAAAAATGATGCCTTTAGTTTCCACGACACAAAATACAGTCCAAAGTCGAAGAGTCGATTCCTTGGGTTTCTAGATAATGTTGAACGAATCGCAAGTCAAGAGTTCCAAAAGGGAATGGAAAGCACGCACCAAATCCGGTTGTCTAATCCGATTACCACCGAAGACAAATCCTACTATAAATCTTATCCTATAGCTGTAATGTCTATTTTAGAATTACCATCGGCTCAGCTCATTGCCCTTCTAGCCGCGAAACATCTGTTATTCGAGTATTTTGATAAGGATGGGCGATGCGACCTTCGAACCCAGACTGACCCGGAATTTAGGAAGCTAATAACACATGCTCTCTTATCTGGGGTGTCTCAACGGCTACACAGTCCGAGAGTGTTCCAAATGTTTGAGATGATTTTTAAGGCTGGGATCTCTCCTAACACTCTGCTGTGTAAAGTAGAATACTCTACTGAAACCAACGATCATGGTGACCTATGGACTTGGTTGTTGAGACGACTGGTATTTATGGACCCGCAGGCAGCATGTTTATACCAGGGCAAAAACAAACATGGGGGGCGGTTGCACTACCGGCTCATCGAACTCTTCCTTCGGTACGGCGCCAGTGAAGACTTTACTTTGACCTTTGGTCCTTGCTACGAAGGAATTGGCCCCAACCGACTTCTTGTGAGAGCCCACGCTGGTGATTACAACTGTCAACGTACAACGCTTGACCTCCAAATGTTCGACGACATATGTGTCGACTATCAACTAGACATTGTTGGCTTTGCAAGGGAAAGGGGTGGGGTCCTCACCCTGAGGGATTTATTTGCGTACTGGTTTCCGCAAGACTGTGGTCATCTATACGCTTTACTCGACAAGAGATGCCCAACCTTATTTGAGACGGAAGATATAATTAAATCTCGTGATTCACCCTCGCCCGGAATGCCGGTGGTGTTCCCAGAAGAACATCGATGCTTTGAACTAGGTGAGCACGGGGAAATGTTCGATCAGTTTGATCCGCGAAAGGTGCCAGGCGGTTATAGGCAATGTCTTTCACATTCCGAGAAGTGTTTCAGGGACTTCGAAGCGAAGCTTGAAAGCAAGGGATTGGGACATTTGTACAAAGTGCAACATGAACGTACATAGTACCTATACATATCAACCTAGATTAACCTACAAGAAGCTCGTCAAGACTATATTCGTCTTTTCCACACATGACTTAGTCCCAGCTTGTTCGAATAGCTTTAAGGCTGAGTGGGGTCCCCGGGAAAGATATAGCATATTGGTATCTCTATTAGCTTATCTCGAGGCGGAGAGGTAGCGGGCGGAAAGACGACATCATGGCTTAGGCCGTCTCTCATAGTCATTGAGCTACAATATCTACTAATTGAACTACGTCGAACATCTTGTCCACCTTGGTAATTTGAACATTAACAACGGACCACAGGCGTGCGCTCGACATATTAACCATCACCATATGTAAAGAGTCTGAGAATCGACCTATGAATGGTTCGGGCATGTGTAAATATATACGCCTAAGGTATCCCTAGTACCACCAAAATAATATGCAATACATATTAGACCCCTAATGTCTTTCATAATGCTAAGACCAGGACCCTTAAGCCCCCCTTGAGAATTGAGAATATGCTGCCAAACCCCCAATTATCCCCAACCTTGCAGATTGTAATCCATCCGACCAGTCTATTATCTAAGATGTAATAACCTATCCCTATACCGAGTCATTAAAGATCGTAAGGTCTATCCATCCTAAGAAAAAGTACTGCCTCCCAATATCGTTTGACGAAGTCCAGGGAGAAGTTTAAAGAGCCAAAGCCGCGAAAGCAGCAACTCCAATTAATCCCATTCCAACTTCAGGTCTAACACCGGCATCGGGAGTCGAGGTAGGACCAATAGCTGAGGTAATAATGTTCGACGCCGACGCAACGGCAGACGGGTCCGGGTTTGATGTCGCAGCATCGCAGATCTCAGGAGCCAGGGTAGAAAGCTCTAGTACGTTGTTAGTTGGACTATTTCGGACCTATTCGCTTATAGAAGTTACTTACTGCCGATATCATCTTGAGAACATTTGGCCGAGAAGCCGATACAACCACTGATGCTACTAATGAAGGACTGCCGTTTATCTTCACTGCAAAGGCACGCAAAATCTGTCGACGCGCATCCAGCAGATTTGGAAGAACTGTCTAGGCAGCTTGAGGCGCATGACGGTAATTGTGACACCAGATCCGGAAGCGTAGAGTTCTGAGCCGCAGCGAAGGCGACGAAGAGGGACAGGGAGATGGTGGAGAATTGCATTGTTGCGATAGGAATATCTTAATTGAGGTAGTTATAGGTTCTAGTTGTAAGGTTGATTGAACCTTTCTTTTAAAGTATCGAATTCCTTTTGGCCAGCCAAAAAAAGAAAAAGAAAAAAGATAAACGGATCAGACGGAAATTCAAGTGGTAAATCGAATGATGATTTATTTTGTATATGCAGTAGTTTGAGAAAGCGAGAGGATCAAGGAAACAGACTCAAACTAAAAATCTAGATAGCTGATAATACAAAATAAGATGATAAAATGACGATAAACTATCCAAGGAAAAAAGACGCGGAGAGAGAGGCAAAGAGGTTTGGTTTAAAACGCATTGATCGCTAGGCTGTGCAGCGTTGAACTGTGCTAAGTTGAACTGTGCTAAGTTAATTGCTAAGTTGATACAGGGACACAATGAGGACAGTGGGCTGTGTTAGCTTAGACCCATTGTTTCTAGCGGTCATTTAGTAAAGATTTACAGTGGTAAAAAAGATGAGTGGGTGAGAGCTTTCGCAGGTGGAGTTTGAAACCCTCTTGGCGCTCGTATTGAAACGCTTCTAACTTTTGAAGGCTGTCAGGACTCAGATTTGGCGGAACCTGCCACAGCCTTGAAGCTGACGTCATATACGAACTGCACTCCACTGTACTTATGTCCGGATAATTAATTCTTCCGATTAGGTATTCGATACCTATCAAGCCCGAGTATCAAAGTACTCTGTGGCTGATAAAGATGGCGGTGCAAATCATATCGAATTAATTACCCGCGCGTCCCTCGAATGGTGAAATTCCAACTGTAATCACCAAATCGCGTATCTCGCCATGTCATTCGTTCACCCTCAATACCCTTGCAAGTTCGTGATGGAGGTGTCAAGAGCAGAATGGCATTCTACTACTCGCCGCACATTCCCATCTACGTCTCCATAACTTCTATGCAGCATCTCTATTATGGACGTAGTGTGTGTAGACGGTAGCCAACAAATCCTCTCGCTAGATCAGTATCTCTACTAGTTAAGGAAAGCCGACTCTTATCCGCAACACTTAGAAGCCCGCGTGAGCAGTAACTACGTAGCACGTCATCCATCCCACCTATTCTCACATACCTTTCTACACATTGTCGCCCAATGAATTGTCTCCGGTGTTAAATACTGTACCCCCAAGGGGTACGGCCCAGCCGATATGTCTTCTTCTAAATACTCGGCAATCTCGAAAACCGACTCGGCTGAACCGGTCGTTTCTACTTCGTCTAGCGGTTCGTTCGTCGACGATGATGATTTTTTGAGTTTTGAGTTATTAGACCTGAATGCCGTAGAGTCCGCACTTCCTACACTCCCTCGGCTCTCAACCAAAATGTCTTATCAACCGCTCTCTTCAGATGACCCGGAAGACCATAAGTCTTACGGATCCTTAGATGCAACACCTTGCCAAAGCCCCACGGCTTTACTAGGCGAGACGATTCGAATTGAGGACCCTGTGGTAGAGATAGAAAACCCCTTTTTAGATACGGAAACTACAGAGTATTGGCGACAAGTCTACGAGAATTGCCAATATGAATGCAGACACGTCTTCAATCCAAAACTGACCTGGTCAGTCAGAGAAGAAAGAGAATTAATCCGAAAGCTTGATTGGAAAGTCTGCTTATGGGCGGTACGAAGCCGTCCTATTACTACTTCGATAGGCGCTAACACCTCGGTCCGGTTCAGTGCATAATGTTCTTCGGCTTACAAGTAGATCGCGGTAATCTTTCACAAGCAGTCTCCGACAACATGCTAGATGACTTAGGTCTAGATACTAATGGTATGATCCAATACATTCGGAATTCATCACCCATACCTCTCTACCTATGGCGAGCATCATAAATGCATACTTAAGCCGGATATAACATAATGGCCCTACTTCCCGTATCACAATATACTGTCAATAAATATAATCATTTCACTAACAACATATAGACTACAACTACGGGCATTCTATCTTCTTGGTATCTTTCTTGCTCGCCGAACTTCCTTCGCAGCTCGTATCAAAAGCCGTAGGCCCAGACCGCTGGATTCCCATGCAGATGGTTCTATGGTCATTCGTCGCCATCTCACAATGTGCTCTAACTGGACGTGGTTCTTTTTTACTGACCAGAAGCTTACTCGGATTCCTTGAGGTAATATGCTCTGATTGAAATATCATTTGGGCCATCGATCTAATTTATCAAAAGGGAGGATTCATACCCGACCTAGTGTTGTGGCTATCGTATTTCTACACATCACGTGAACTGCCAATAAGACTCAGCTACTTCTGGACGTCGTGTAAGCTTCAATTTATCAGTAACTGATATTGAAGTATCACTAACTTGATCCGCGCAGTATCAATCACGGGAATTGTTACCTCTTTGCTAGCCTTTGGGCTGCTACATCTCAGGGGCTTGCTAGGTTGGGAAGGTTGGCGATGGCTATTTTTACTTGAAGGATGTATCACTTTATGTATAGGAATAGCATCGTTCTTCATGATGCCCGCATCCGCAGTGCAGACCAAGACGTGGTTCCGCCCGAAGGGTTGGTTCACGGATCGAGAAGAGGCGATTGTCGTGAACCGAGTGCTTCGCGATGACCCTTCTAAAGGGGACATGCATAATCGACAGGCATTAACGCCCAGGAGGTTATGGGAAGCCTTAAAAGACTACGACTTATGGCCCCTATACGCCATTGGCTTCTGCGCTTACGTGCCGCAATCGCCCCCGAAAACCTATCTCACCCTTACACTTCGGTCGCTCGGATTCAGCACGTTCAATACCAACCTCCTGACAATTCCGGCGGTAAGATGAACAGTCTTGACTCCCCTGAATGGTCTTTGCTAACTTCAATCAGGACATAATACATATTTTCAACCTTATTTTAGTCACCAGGCTGTCTGAATGGTTAAACGAACGATCGTTGGTGGCTATTTTGCAACCTCTTTGGACCCTGCCCTGCATTTTTGCTTTAAGATTCTGGGGAGGGCTGATTGAAGATAAATGGGGTACATACGCAATTATGATGGTTCTGCTCTCCTATCCATATTGCCGTACGTATTCCCTACTAGGTTCTACATAGTGTTTACTACTAGCTAATGCCTTGCTAGATGCAATATTGGTAGGCTGGTGTTCCAAGAATTCTAATAATGTCGGCACGCGTACGGTTTCGGCAGCCCTATATAACGTAAGTCTTACTTCCAATTCTACAGATATAGCAAAGCTAATAGCCCATCAGATGAGCGTCCAAGCCGGCAACGTGTACGCTTCTTATATTTATCGCGAGGACGACAAGCCTCGATACCGTCGTGGGAATTCGACGTTACTTATGATCAATCTAGTTTCCATTCTTGCTTTCTTGCTGACGAAGCTTTATTATGTCTGGCGAAACAAGCAAAAAGAACGCGTATGGAACGCTTTAAGTGAAGAACAGCAAGTTGCATACAGGAAGACAACCAAGTTACAGGGTTCTAGAAGGCTTGATTTTAGATTCGCTCACTGACGAGAAGAAGACTCATTCGAGAGTCCACACTACCCTTATCTAGTAGAGGCGCATGTAAACAGCATTCAAAGACCGAGATAGACACATTAGGTACCTAGGTACACTTAAGCATTATACCCCCTAATCTAAAAGTCATCATACTCAATAGCTGATTAGGTGCTCTATAATTATCAGACCCAACCCTCCTAAGTGGACTCACTATATTGCATAAACGAGCTAAGTGTCTTTATAAGAGAGTCTACCTATCTAGTATACGTACTATAGCACCAACTTACGACCTTAATCAACACCCTGTTACAATCACCTAGACCTTAGCACCTGTATACGACTGGCCGTACATAGGTACCTAATACATGATAGTAATGGCGGTTGTGAATGACATGGACATCGTTGATGTAAATTGTACCAAGGTACGTAGGTACCTTGTTTGGTTTTTCAACTGTCATGTTTTTGTCTCTGTATTGGTCCTTCGAAACATTGGCCCGCTAATGTCAGTGTAATAGTGTGTCTTTGTACCTCCTTCATACCTTTGCAGGTGGGTTTGAACGTGTGCAGTGATGATTTAGTCTTACGGATGGTTTAATATCAAACGATTGCAGTTGTGGACACCAACACATACCTTGGGTAAGGTATGATACTCGTACTCAACGTACCTTGCGCAAGTCTTTAACAACTGGGTAGGTTAGGTACTTACGTACCTAGAGAACCAGACTGCATTATTTTTTCTATATAAATCCTAGCCTGGAATGCTGCCTACATGAATTGTTGAACCTTCAACTTGCAAGATTCACCATACTATTCGCAAACCACTCCTATCAACCAACAAGTTCAGTCTTGCTATAAGACTAATAGAACGGTCTTGTTCGCAAGCCTTGACCTATAACCTGAAAACCCTCGCATCGTTGAGAAACTATACGATCTCTAAGGGTTCTTCCCCGAATCCCAATAGCCCATCATGGACAGCCTTCCAACAGAGATCGTGCACCACATCTGCTCGTTTCTGGACCTTGGTAGTGTTCAGCAATTCCGTCTCGTCTGCAAGAGCTTCTCAACAATCGGAGCACAATATCTTTGCGTTGGTGTACGATACTCGGTACATGACCCTATCCAGAAATTAATGGCTCTCTCGAGTCGACCTCATATTGCCAGAGGGGTACGGAAGATACGGTATTCTCGGCTTCCTGCTTTCCTATCGAGACTACACACGGGGAACTTCTTTGCGCGTATGGCGAATCCGCCAATGCCTGATCTAGGTCATAATCCTCACCCAAGTTTCTTTTTGGGCTATGAGTATGATTACTTATACTTCTTACATCTACTTCCCCGGTTTCCACGACTTCGACTTATTGTTCTGGATATCACCGAGCCTGTAAGCGATTTCGGAAAAGAACAGCCCGTTCAGTTCTACTTCGAGAATCTCCCTACAGTCACCCCCGCGAGCCAACCCCTGAAAATGCTGTTACAGGCACTCGTGGATAGAGGATCCAGCTTGGACGGCCTAGCAGTTACTTTCCTCGATTGGGGATTTTTCGACTCGAGTGATGCTGAACTCATGCCATTGTTTAAACCCATTATCAACCTCAAGTATCTGGAGCTTGTATTCAGCAACATGTATCTGCTCTCGTCCCCTCATCAGGGAAGGGTAGTTCGCCGATGCAACGAAATCTTGAAAGCCGGCGCGATCCGAAAACGCCTCGCCATCTTTACTGAGCTACGCACGTTAAACCTTGATTTCGCTATGTTTACTAATAACCCCGACTGGGGGGTATTTAAACGTTCTTCTTCTGGTACGTCGCTAGATGATATAATCCCTCAAGGGTTTACCTGGTCATATTTGCATAGCCTTAGATTATGCCAGATTAACACCGAACGGCAAGAATTGATGGAATTCCTCTATCGTCACAGAGGAACACTCCGCAAACTACATTTCAAATCGATTGCTCTTCGGAGTTCTTCATGGATCGTTCTAATGACCGATATTCGGAGGGAGCTGAATCTGACAGAAGGATTCATGCGCGGGAAAATCCTGGGCTACAACGAAAGCACGGATATAAAGCAGGGAGAACAGTATTGGGATATGATTTATCTAACTCAGGATGTTTGGACAAGAATCAACAGATATTTCGTGCGGGATGAGAAGACTCCGGATATGGATGTTTGCCCTCTCCAGGAAATTAGCTATACCGAATGGTAGCAAGTATTTTGCTCAGATATCAACTAGGTACGATGTGTAGATGAAGTGGAGTTCTCATCGCAGATATAACCTAGGGAGACAGGCATTAATTAAGAAGCGAACCCCCGAATCCGATCCGCATTGACGTGTGACGTGCATCTCTATTCCTGGTACGCGCCACATTGCATGCATTAACACGTGGATTTATAGTCCGTGTCTAGTAAGGTATGTTATTATAATGTTAGCTACCATGTATTTGGAACGCTTGACTTATTCCGTACTTCTATATGGCTGTTGTTCTTATTTAAATACCAAAAGTAGATGATGTCATGTCAATATTCGTGATGGATTCATCTGTAAAGTGCTTGCTTGCCTTGATAATAAATGTGAATAATAGACGTACTAAACAGCCAGCCAGGTAGTATATTTTATTGAAGATAAGATAAGTAAATTTAATTACTACATGTATGTACATAGATAGACTTAAGGTTATACGTACGCAACCAATGTAAATAGATTGATACGGCTAACTAATTGCTTCGGTTTATCCCTTACGTGGAATTTGATAATGTTCGCCGTTTAATGTACATACAAATGTCTTAAATTATGTAATGACATTTAGGTAAATACCTGTTTGGAACTTTGGAAAATATTACCAAGGAGACGGGCGTAGTGATAGAAGCGGGATGACGCTGAGGCTCATGAAATGTAAGTACCTGAAATGCAAGTAAAAGTCTCAAATCGAAGATCGGGTTATCGCTAATGCCAGCCTAAACCCGATTGACAATCAGTGTGCAGCTTGCAGAGCGCTAGGTCAAGCTTGCGCAGGACAAAGATTGCACTAACCTAAAAAGGATGATACATCATACGTTCATTGGTTGTCGCAAAAACTCGTAACTTGATAAGTCTAACCATATCGGCCAACAGGATTGGCGAATAATTGGCGAATACTTTGTCGCTGTAGCAACAGACCGCAGCTCTTGTCAACAGAGAGCTATGTCAACCCCGGCGATTTTATCTGCAACTTAGAACACTATCTACAACATTTCACTTATTCATTCCCTACCTCTCTACCTTATCTTGCATAGCAAGATCATTCATCCTAGAACATTATCCACTTTGAATTGTTGTTGTAGAAGACAACAGCTTCGAAACGGACAGCTTCAAGAAAGCTTTCTAACTTTACTGAGAAGACTACTCAGACCACACAGACCACTAAGCGAGACCATCGTCTCTCTTATTATCTATTCATCTGCCTGAACAGAGGCAGCACTTACACGCATCTAGTTTTCGTCTGCCAAGTTCGCCTGCTGCTGCTGAGGACAATTTAAGAGCTTAATTGCCCGGCCAGACTGGCTTGCGCTGCGTGAGGTGAGTTATCCCGTTGATTTCCATTGCAATTTCTTCGTGAGACCTCACAAGATGACTCGGGAACCTGATGACTGACGGATAGATGCAGTTTCGGAACCAACTGATAGCCAATTCGGCAACCAGGATCTATCGACAATCGGCCCATTTCCGAACTCGACTCTCATCACGATGCTGTCCAATCCGGTTCATGGCGGTCTTCACGCCCGGCACCGACAACATCGACGACAAAACTCGACTCCCACAGGATACGAAACAATGAAGATCGCAACAAACCTGTCCAACATGCATCAACAACAACACCAGAACCAGCAACGATCACGCATGTCCCATCGCAGGGGCATGAGTCTGGATATTCGACGACAACAACCACAGCAACAGATGCAATCCCCGACAATACCAATACGACAGGAATATTCAACGGTAAGTAACGCTACTAACAATACAGGATCAATCACATCACAGCATGTGCTGCGAGAAGCGCAGCAGCAACGCATGGCTCGCCCGGGCTCCCAGCAAGCATACGCGAACTTGGCAAGCGACGACAGCTATCTAATATCCCCTCACGGGACACCAAGGGCACAGAGTTTTGAAGGACAAGGGTTTGAGGGTCTTTCAACCCAACATGATATGCAAATCAATCTTGACATGTATAATGGACCTATGAATGTCATTATTAAAAAGAACCAGGAGAGTTTCTCCAGTAACATAACAACGTCTCAGGACTTCGACCAGTTCCCAAGCACCCTATCCACACCTACGCTCATGAGCTTCCAGGACAGCCCAACGGGAGGTCCTGGATGGATCTCTGAGGGAGAGACTTCCAGTACCAGAAGAAGCTCCTCCCGTCGTATTAGCAACGGAATTATGGATAGAGTCTCAAAATTCGAAAACTTAGGAACCGAGGTTTCGAGACCTTTGACGCCTCCCCGTCAGGATGCTACAGGTGAGCATATTCCATGAGTTAGGAGAGAAGTAAGAGACTAACCTAGAGGAGACTACTTCCCACTCACACCTATGGATACACCTCATAACAGGACCATAAAGCATAGTCAACCACCGCAAAGGTTCTCAGATGGCTACGACGAATCAATGGAGGAAACTGTGAAACCCACAAGGCAATCCGCAAATGGACGATCACGGACGACTTTCGATGAGATGCGAGAAGCAGCTGAAGCCCAGGTCCCTATGCCATTGCCAAACCGATCCAACACGATGCCTCTATTAGAGACATTCAATCCCCCATCAGACCCGATGGCGGAGTTTTTGGATATGGGCCGTATGGGTGGCAACGGCCTCAGAATTGATACTGCTTTTGATGGGCTTCCCATGTCTTCACATTCCATCGGCGCCAATTCAGATCTTTCCGGGCATACGACTCCCATTACGCCCCAATTGGGCGAATTCAATGGCTCCTTTGAGTACAAGCCTAATATGCAACACCCCAACTTAGGATCCGATCCGTTCAACAGCGAAGATGGATATTCAATAGAAGCATCTTCCCGCCGAGGGACTCCGCTCCATCGTCGAAACGAGTCAATGGCTAGCATTGCAAGTGCTGCGAGTATCGCCAGTATCGACATCGAGAAGACCAAAATGTCAACAGGAATCACACTCGAAGACATCCACCAATATATCCAAGGGCCCGACCCCAGAGACAACAAATGGACCTGCACCTTCGAAGACTGCAATAAGAAGTTCGGTCGGAAGGAAAACATCAAGTCTCACGTACAAACCCATCTCAACGACCGCCAGTACAGATGTCCAACATGTAATAAGTGCTTCGTTCGACAGCACGACCTCAAACGGCACGCAAAGATACACACAGGTATAAAGCCTTATCCTTGCGAGTGTGGCAACAGCTTTGCGCGTCATGATGCACTTACCCGTCACAAACAACGTGGTATGTGCATTGGCGCATTTGAGGGCGTGACGAGAAAAGTGGTAAAGCGCGGGCGTCCGCGAAAGCACCGACCAGATATGAATGAGCGAAAGGAAAAGTCAGTTCGAACTCTCAAGAAGAATATGTCGACTTCATCGATGTCGTCGCAGTCCGGATACTCGGACACCTCAGCAGGCAATTCTCCCGAATATGTCGACCCGGATTTCGATGTGCTAGACGGAATTATGGACGTATCGATGGGGGGAACGACGATGAACCCAAACTCTCTCCAGAACATAAGTTCATCGTCTGCGCCAATGCCTAGCCTCGGTAACGATGCGCCGGTGAGTGAGCACTCGCCGTCAGCGGCTAGTGTGCATTCATACGTCTCGCAATTATCCCATATCTCGCTCCACCAAGAACTACTGCCAGAAGCGATATCGTCGCCACCAGGGTCTCCTGCGAAGAGCGTCGCTAGTCAGTTTAACGAACTCCCAGAGCTTTCTCGCTCGTCATCTCCGCCGTCCGGCAGCCGGTATTTTGATGCCGAGCCGAATTCAAGCGGTACGGAGATTACGATTGGTTCCAGCGTCGAGACATCCAGCATTCCAAGCTTTTCTGGAATAAGCGAGGCTGACGATGATATGCTGCTCCAATTCACTAATAACGATACGGGCATGCTCATGCTTAGCTCTGATAGCAAGTTTGATGAGGCGTTCGACAGCGTCGATATGTTTACCAATAATGACGACTTATTTTTCGGTAGTAGCTAAGACAGTTGGAGAGGCAAAATGATTCGTCTTTCATATTTAACTCGAAACGAAGCGAAGCGAAGCGGGACATACTAGAACGGCATACTAATGAAATGCATTTTGGGGGTTTATACTTGACCTTGGAGCGTAATTGCGAGCTCCTTGTTTTTCCTTTCCCTCTGAAATTCGGCCAAGAAGTCATGTACGATAATGTGGAATTACGAGAGACGGGATCGCGGTGAAAGGGAATTTCCCCATGGCGGATTGGATGGGATGTTTGGGCGTTTTAGCGCCGACGCGGGTGGCCGTCTATTTTTCTGGTCTGTTTAATTTGGGAGGGGGGAGGGGGCGGTACTTGAGAGTTTCCATAGGATGAAAAATATTATTTGGGGTGTAGTTGATCTCGTTTGGATATTAGGTCACTGGATGATAATGAGATGAGGTCTTTATTCTGGTGCTGTAATCTGTGCATGTTTTGTGAATGTGATATGATGATGTCTACCTATGTTAGGTATTGCGTGCCTTAGGTGCCTTAGGTTAGGTAGGTGTAGGTACCATTGATGCTGTGCTAGGTACATCCTAGCGGTACGTATAAGGTAAATGTAAGGTAAAAACATTGGTCTAAAACTGTGGCCAGTCGGCAGCATCCGCTACTAACTCCACTTTTGCATGTCTCCAACCGTCTCAATGGGAAACAGGCGACGTGAATAATACCTAACCTTTCTCATGATAAAATAGGATGAAAGACACAGGTTTAAATTTAAACCTACACCAGCTACCAAAGAATAATCGAGCATATATGGAATATATGGAATGCAATCGATTAGGTAACAACGATTCTGAACATCTTCGTTGAACCTGTTTTTATCTAGGTTGATATTTATACCCAACCAAGCTCGTCTACTCTCGTCTACTACCATAACAGCGAGAAGTGACATCTGGTCTCCCAGGTCGAGCTTTCAAACGCAAATTGCCATCAGAATACGACCATATTGAAACTCTCTGGATACAGTTTACTCACGTAGGAAATCCTATGGAAGTTTTACCCTTTCTATCTGCCAGGATTACTTACCAACATGTTCATCCCGGCCACTATTCCATTCTTTACTCAGTTCTACCCCATCGGCAATACTCCCGCGGTCAGCCTGACGAGGGGCTTGCCCCAGGGGGTAGATGCTGATATTCTTCTTCTTGGATGTGGCGACGTCCGTAATATTCTATTCACAGCCTACTCCGAACGAGGGTTCCGTAAGTACCCCTTTTGCTCTCATCTGGGCTTTCCTGTCTCTATGAGGAGGCAAACTCAAACTTTTATGCCGAGCAGACGTTATCCACAAAGTTTCTTAGTATATTATGATCTGCCATCGATGTTACTAACACTCGAGTAGCAGCAAGAAAGCTTGACATTACCTGCTGCGATGTTGAAACTGCCATAATAGGTATGCAGAGCATATCCCGGCTAGATATCCTTATACTAAATCATTCTAGCACGAAATGTACTTCTCTTTACCCTCCTCGTCGACGGTATCAGTGCCAAGATCGCGTGGGATATATATTTCCATTTTCGCATCGATGAAGACTCCAAAAAGCTGATCAAGAATCAAGCACAAAAGATAGTGTCATTGTCAGGCAGCATAGATCAGTGGAGCGAAGAACGTTATGGCTCGATGCTGAAATTCTGCGATGCAAACTCGCTTCAGGAAGTCAGACAGGTCTGGATGAAGTACGCGTCATCCCAGTCTAAGTCTAAGGCTAGCTTCGAGAAAGACCTTGAGAATACTCGAAAGCTATTTAGGCTTATGAGCGGCCAATCTGAGGGTCAGCCCGAGCTCATTCTAACTGGGCTCAGATCCGCGGCGCCATTATCAATCGCGTCGAAGGAGGGGATTGTAGAGGCCAGAGAGCGCTTCTGGAAGCATGGCAGTCTTTCCGAATACCCAGGAACAGTTCCCAATCCGCTATTCTCTGAGTCTGTGTCTGCAAACACGTACCTTCATTATGGCACAGACCCCATTCTTGGATTCCATCTCGCAACCGCTAAAGCGAATTTAGCACCGGGGTCCCCGCTTCGTCCCGAAAGGGATGACGGCGAGATCCTCAATGTTGTTGCTGCAGCTAAGACTCAGTTCCGCGAGTGGGTGGCGGCATTCCGAGAGGTACCGGAAGGGAGTATAACTCTTAGATTCACCGTATCGGACGCCTTATCCTTTAGCCACGCCCTACAGACCATTTCAACTTCAAGAGGCGGACCAACATGTCTCTTTCGCCGACAACTTGATATAATTCCTATTGAATTCGACCCTAAAGCTTACGCTACGCCCGGCTCGGCACCAACCAAATTCGATGTAATTGATACCTCGAATCTTGCCGACCATATCGGCACACTAAATCTATTAGTAGCAGCCGCACCTCTATTGAAGACATCAGCAAGCTCCACCCTATGGATAGAGAAGTTGGTCAAGACAGAAAAGACGCGAAGGCAGCAATTTGACGCTCTACTGCCTGGTCATGCCCCAACGATATCTATACTTCTTGGTCTAAGCCCAGTCGACTTTTGGACTAATGCTACATCCGTGTCATGCGTAGATGAAATCTTGTTGAACACTCTAAGCACATCAACTCGAGCCCAGCAGGCGCATTCGAGATTGGCTTGGAAATTGAGCACATCTTTCTCGCAATTACCCAGCGATCTTGAGGCTTTATATGTTGAGCCGCATGCGCTTGCCAGTGCGGTATTTCAAGTTTACATACAAATGTTCGAGAGTGAGGACCCCACGCCACTTCTAAAAGTAAATCACGAAGAGTTAGCAAGGAAACTTCTAGGCCAGGGATATCCACTATTCCACAGAGGCAGTTTCGTGCTATTCTTGAAATATATCCGGGCAAATACTTCTACTACTTGGCCATCCTTCTGGGAGCGCTTGTTGCAGATGATAGACCAAGATAACCTAGACAAGAGAACCTTGCGAAGCCTTTATCGTCAGGAATTGGGCGCTCAACTGCATGTCCAAGGCCTATATACCGAAGAATGGATGAGGAACGACATAAGATCGATGCCAAGCGCGGGTGGCTTCCACGCATGGGACAATATACCAGAAGTGGTCTGCGTCACAGTAGTGGTGCCGAGAAAACATATTGACAGATTATATAGCACCGAAGAGAGCAAGCTTAACGCACCAACGCTCGAGGGTATGCTCAAGTCGAGTAATCCAATGGGCTGGGAGAATTTCTTTGCTAGTGTGCACGCCGTATTTGGACAAGTTGAAACATCAGGACGCCGCGAGAATGAGAATTTCTCGATAACAATCCATCAGGACCCTCTGGGCTGGCAAGGAAAGTCTCCTCTAGTAGCTTCCTTTTACGTGCCATCTACTGGCCTTCAGGTTGAACCAAGAGATACTCGAGCTGGTCTCCGCGTTCAGAACACACCCATGAATATTCGCACTTTCAAACACCTCTTACCCACCATGGTCTTACACGCGACGACAATCACTGATACTTCTAACGTCTTTGTCACGAAATACAAACCGGGAATGACAGGTTATCCCTTGGCAGGTAGCTACAAGAATCCTCTAGTTAAGAGCGCCGTCCAAACGGATACACCTCCACCTACCCGAATTACCGCGAACTTTGAAAATAATATGATCAAGTCTTTATGTAACCATGTCGATTTTTCTTCGCAAAAGGCTCGGAAACTCCTAACAGAACGTGTCCCCGTAGAATTGCAACAGTCGTCACCATTCTCGATAGATATCGTATTCGGCGAGAAACTCCTGGTCCATGCCGCGTCATTCCCAGCTCCGGTTCTCAAGGAAACCGCCAAGACACGTATCGCGCGCACTTCGGGTTACATTGAAGTTATTGCAACCCTAGCAGATCCCTTGGCTTCGGGACCGCTATCGTCTTTCATCTACCCCATCACGCTCGGGGAAAGTTCCATGCCCATACCACTCAACAGTCAACAAGTCAACCTAGACTCTTTACCGATCCTCGATGTGGATCAAGTTCACAAAAAGGAAAATCGATGGCTAAACACACTTACGTCTCACCAGTTCTCCGTTCGCGAGCGAAGATTGCGGGACTCAACTGAGCCAGCTTCGCTGCGTATGAACTTCAAAGAGTCGCTCTTTTCTATTTTTATGTTAGCTTCGGGGCTTCAAGGCGGAAACACTGGGCTCTTTGCACTCCAGCACCCCGTAGATGGAAACCAAGTCCTTATCTTCGTCCGCGCCATACGGATCAATGGCGCAGAGGGGTCCGTAGTGGCAGACGCGGCAGTAATCCCTATCACCAGGCAGCTAATTGACTCGGGAGAAATCGAGACGTTCCTTTATATCCTTCGCGAACTACAGATATGCGCCATCAACGTCAATGACGAAGAGCTCGTGCTCTGGAAAGAAGTCCTCCCTGCATTCGCCGAGCGGTGTCGCACGTGGAGTCACGGCCCTAAATGCGAATACAAAAAGTCCCGTGCCACGATCCCGCTTAGCACGGAGATGGGGAAGCAATTCATGTGCAGCTGCGGCAACGGCAAGCTACCCGATGGATTTATAAGCCTGCCGGACTGGAATAGCGCAGCATCCAAGTATGCAACCCGCGTAGCAATCAGCCCGACCTTCTCAGTACCTTTTGTTGAGGATATTGTAGACCTAGATTTACTTAATGCCCAAGGAAGTCTTGAGCGTTTGCACATGGACAAGTGTCGCAACTGCAACGCGACGGAGGGCAAGAATGGAGGGAATCTCTTGAAATGCTCAAGATGCAAGGAGGTCATGTACTGCTCGTCAGAATGCCAGCGCAAGGATTGGAAGAAGCATCGGATGGAGTGTAAGGCTTATGATGTGTCGTAGTTGGGTTGACAAGAATGCACTTAAAGACGGGATCTTGCAGAATAGGATGAGAAATTGTCAATAACACGACAGGGCGGTTCCCATGACTTGTCGAGGGGTTAGCTGAACTACGAACACTAAACGCTCAGCCCTACGATATACTTTCTCCCCTTAGAATATCTGTCATATGTGGGGTACCCACATGTATATAAAGCTAGATCCTCCCTCCTGTAACTTAGCCATTACAACATAAAATACATACAATATTGTAATAATATCCATGCCGTCCATACGGGGTTCCCCAAACCCATACATATGCCTCGGCTAACGAGGGTCTACACTAGGCTCAAAGCCTTTACCCAGGCGGACCATATTCCTCCTCCTTCTAGTACGGCTTTTATGTATGCGATACTATGTATATCGAATTGGCATAGAAGCCTCTAGATTAACGTCGCGCCTGTGCATATATGACTTAGATTACTGGCAGCTCCATATTTAAGATCCAATATTGCCGCCGTGCGTTTTCCGCGTATTGTAAAGCACGTCGTCTATCAGTAACAAGAGCTAATAATTTGTGAGTTAACCAGAATCTCTAGGCTCTAGCATTGCCCTTTTAGAGCTATTCTTCACCCGCGGTAATGTGAATGCCGAAGAAATGTCTCCATTTTTGATTAACAATCGGGACTCTGCCGCCATCGACGTGGTTCGAAACTATGCGCCATGTTGGGGGTTGCTGCGCTGCTCGGTCTTATCGTATGATAGCCACGCGTTCGGGGTCGCCTGCTTCGCTTAGTAAGATGGTAGTTATGAATTATGATAGACGAATCTTGTACTTGAGGTTATGATTGGGATTGTACCGATCGCATAGTAAGGTTCAAAAGTCGTCGCCTAAGTCTAAGCCACCTGCGGAATGTACATACCTAGGTACCTATGTATAACAAAGATATAGAAGGATTAGAATAGCAGCATGCCAAGAAGATGAGCCAGACAGGTAAGCTTTGGTACCAGGCAAGCGGCATCTAGCCTCATCATGTGGCTTTGAATCCTACCAAAGACGCGAGGTATCAAGCACATCCCTATTTAGCCTGAACCTCTCGCCGCTTCTCATGGGCCCATATCCCCGAGGTTACTGTATAACACGATACTCAGATCCGGGTACGAGACTGTATACACCCGGTTAGTCCTCCACAGCGCTAATGCCGGGTATATGCCAAGACCAGAGCCGCCGGTGTCATCGGTAGTACATATACTGCGATAAAATATCGATTGATATTATTGTCTCCAAGGTAACCCCCCAAATGAGACTATAGACGCACCTTATATGAGGAATAATGATGGTCATCGGCCCATTTCACGATGACTTTGAACGATATCGGTTTTGCCAGTGGCTCGGTAAATCTTGAAGCTGCCCGCGAAGGAGTTCTAGCCCCTACTTTCGATAAGTACCTAGGGAGCATTTCTCGTGGATGGTTATGCCTAACCGAGCAATATACATAGGCCGCTATGGCCGTAACGTTATTATGAGGTTTGTTGAGATCTTTCGTGAGGCGTGCTGCAGTATAGTGCGTACTGACAGATCTTCGGCATCATGAAGCCGAGTCTTTCTTCCATTTTTGCGGGCGTATTTCTTTCCGGGGCTATCGCGCTTAAGCCAGGGGCTCTTCTTTCGGACTCCATTCAACTCACCCAAGAAGATATCGGTGACTTCTCCGCCATAGATTTTGGTGATGAGGCTACAGCTTCACTGGATGACAGCACCGTCGATGGCTGTAAAGTCTTCCCGGGCGACAGCGACTGGCCATCTGTCGCAGAGTGGTCTCGGTTGAACAGGACTCTTGAGGGCGCTCTGCTGAGACCAACACCTGCAGCAGCCGCTTGCTACCAAGGACCCGACTATGATTTGGAAAGGTGCACGTACTTATTTACGAATACATCCCTTTCGCACTTCTGGATTGACGAGCCACTTGTTTCGTTGACAGAATGGTCGCAAGGTGGTACTTGTGCGCTCGCCTTGAACCCCCAGGGGAATTGTACGCGTGGTGGATTCCCCGAATACGTTGTTAATGCCACGAGCGTGAAGCATATCCAAGCAGCAGTCAACTTTGCCAGGAACAAGCGCATCCGGCTAGTAATTAAGTAAGATGAGTCCACTTGTCTAGACCTTTAAAACCGCCCAAAGGATGAGAACTCCTAACAGCATAAAAACAGAAATACAGGACATGATTTTGGTGGCAGGTCGGTGGGAGCAGGATCCCTTAGCATCTGGACACATCATCTAAAGGCCATGGAATTTATCCCTTCGTATGAGCTTGGGCCTTATCAGGGAAAGGCGGCTCAATTCGGAGCCGGCGTCGAGTCGTGGGAGGAACGTAACCTCATGGCGGCCCACAACATAACTGTAGTCGCGCCCGGTTGGGTCACGGTGGGAGGAATCGGCGGCTGGATGAGCTCGGGGGGCCACACGACGATCACCTCTAAATTTGGTCTCGGAGCGGATCAAGTACTTTCTCTTGGTGTTGTAACTGCTTCCGGCCGGTTCGTAACAGCAGATCCGTATACTAACCCTGATCTTTTCTTCGCATTGCGCGGCGGTGGTGGAGGTACGAATCTGCGTTTCACGGTTTATTGTGATGAGCCTTTCTTGCATTATTAACGGGTACAATAGGAACCTATGGAGTGGTGACTTCGGCTATCTTAAAAGCGCATCCACCAGTTTACCTAACGTCAACGTCGTTAAGCCTCACTCTTTTGGAGCCAAGGAATATGACATCCCCTATCCCCGGCATACTCACTGATGCCGAGAAGTTCTGGCAGGGGGTTGGCACTTACTATAGATTCGCTGCCAAAATATTAGATGCCGGTGGTTACTGTTTCAGCTACATCTATCCCCTTCCGAATAACAGTTACAGTTTCGTAACCAGCTCAGAGTTCACCGACTCCACGGCGGCAGCAGTCTACAAGTTCATGCAGCCATTATACGATGATCTGCACGGTCTCGGTATCAACGTCACTAACCCGCCGCTCCTCTTCACCTCGCTCTACGGACTGCCCAGCTTAGGAATCGGGTCCCCGCCAGGCAACACCAGATACAGGTCCCGACTGCTCCCGCGCGAAAACTGGGAGGACGACGAGCTATGGAACAAGACGATGAAGGCGATACGAACGGCCACGGAAGGGGGCTACGACCGGGGCTACTACTTCCACGGGACGATGACCTCGCCGACGGAAGAAGTTGCAGGGTGGCCCGGCGCCGAAAACTCGGTCAACCCGGCGTGGCGCAAAAACCGCATGCACGCGATGCTGATGGACCAGACGCCGGACCAGTCGACGGAGCGCGACACGATGATGCAGGGGTACATGGACCTGCTACGCGAGGTGTCGCCGGATGCCGGGTCGTACATGAACGAAGGAGACCCGGGCGAGCCGAACTGGCAGCAGGCGTTCTACGGACACCACTACGAGCGCTTGCTGCAGATAAAGCAGCAGCGAGACCCGTGGGGTGTATTCTGGGCGCCGACGACGGTTGGGAGCGAGGGTTGGGCGGTCCAAGCCGTGGGGTATCCCGGGTCGCAGAATGGGAGGTTGTGTCGCGCTGAGCAGGTGGGAGATGGAAAGGAAGCGTGACCTCTTGTATTTACATGCCTGTTAGGTTTGTGTTGATGATAAATTGAGTATTCTGACCATAGCGCGACCCTCTTTTTTCGTTCTAGTGACGGAAGAGCAGGGCTAATCGCTTGGATTAATGATACTAGTTTTCACATCGCAATGATAATGGTAGTCGTCACAATCTTTGAAGTGTAGAAAGACTGCGCCGAGTCCTTGTTCAACTTCAAAATCAAATCAAATCAAGCCACACTAGGGCCAAGCCAAGTACCGTGCAGATCCCTGATCCAACCCCTTAATCAGGGGCTATAATAAGTAGGGAGAGATCAAAACCACCAATTCCCAACTCGTGCGTAAATAGAATATCTTGCGATACGTAAGGTTGATTACCATCGTACAGGTTTGAATTAAAGGCCTGGGCCATTAAAGCGACGAGGTTTCTGTTCTACCAGGAGATTTAATTAGTTCGCAAGTACCAACTCGCACCTCGGTTACTCAATAAAGGGGTAAATATCAACATCAAGTCATATAAAAGATAGAAAACACTGTTACATTTGGCGTCAAAAAGGAGCAGCCGGTAGGTTGTCGTTGCTCTCACTGAACAGAAAGAAGTCAAAACTGACATAGTCGATAGATATGGAGCAACTGCTTTGGATTATGCGAGGATATGAGGCCATGGGGACGTGGCTGAATTTCTGCAAGCTGGCAGCTCGAATCAAAATGTTCCAATATAAGATATAAAAATATTAGAAGGCGGAAGGGATTTATTATAGCTTAGCTACCTACGCATTAGCCTTAGCTTTCTTATCAATAGTCAAGTGCCTAATATATACTTACCTGGCTACCTTCTGGGCGCCTATTTTAAGTTGCACAGATGAGTAGCAGGTATTACGCCAGAAACCAAGAGCAGATATACCAAGATACCCAAAGTCTATTAGTGAGTTTTAACCAAAGAGATCCAATACTGATCTTAATGCAACCCCCGCCTATGAATAGTTTCAGTATTCTTATGTATTGCTAATAAAACTCAAATCGACAAGCTGCAGTGTTCTGAGCAACAACATTTAGGCTTGTTAGATCTTTTCCAAGTCAAGGTCGATCCTAAACGTCCTTTCGTTGGCATAATAAAATCAAAACTCGGCCGAGAATATGGATATCCAATATTCACCTAGAACAGAATTGAAAGTTTTAGTCTTACGTGTTTATAGTGAATCAATCCACTTCTCCAATCATTATTATATACTTAGGTAGGTACCCACGCCTTATTCGTGACTGTTAATCGTATCTCATATATCGGAGTTGCTAGTGCATTATAGTATATGACTGGTGCTAGATCTTAAGAACCGAGTATTCAATATAGCTTCAATCATATCTTGTGAATGAAACTAATAACATGGGATATACCATCAAATAAACAACTCACAAAGTAGTAGATTAAACATCTACCAAGTAAATGTAACATCATCTTGTTCTAGACGTGCCTATTAAGCTTCGGCCAAACACCTCCTTTGTGATTCAAGTCAACTCCACCACAGTATAAAGCCCCCTAACGACATAGTTACGATCAAAAGAACCTATAATCAGTTAGTTAATATTAGACAAGTAATTGTATAGAACAAATATCATTAACGAAAAAATAACCTAAGTCTATATATACCATGCATCCAATGCCTCGATGATAATGCCTACTACTCAAACACAATCCAACCAACCATCATCCTGCACCCTAAAGCATCTTCACTTGGACAGCCCTATTCTTAACGGCTTCGAGGAACGTCAATATCAGATATACAGCTTCTCCAGCAATCATACAACCCATCTACCTACCGCAGCCATGTTCAACGTTCTCAAGCTCGCCTCGCTCGCTCTCCTAGCAGCTCCCACCGTCCTGGCAAGCGATATCATCGTGCAGAACAACTGTAAATTCAACGTCTGGTGTTCCGCAGCCAAGAACGACGGGGCCTCCAGCGCGTTAGTCAAGGTAAAAGCTGGCCGGCATTACAAGTCCCCACTCCCTGCCTACAACGACAATGTTGGCTCTGTTTTGAAATGTACCGACGTATCTGGTTCCAGGAAGGTATTCCAAGTCGAGCTAGCGGTGCAGAATGGTAGGTCGTGGTTTGACCTGTCGGCTATCGACGGTGACCCATTCCTCTCGCACCACCGCCATGCTGAGCTCGCGGGCCAGTGTGTTATTGACTGCCCTGCCGGATCTACATCCTGCTATTACCCTCTTCAAGTCGACTGTGCCAGTACCGAGAATGCCGTACTGACTATTTGTTAGTTAGTAGCGCCCGAGTTTGAGCAAGTAGGCCATGATGCCATAGTAGATACTAGAAATCTGGATACTTAAGAAATGGCGAGTTGTTTTCAATGTTTCAGTTGTTAAGTTTACTGCACTTATACATATTTATAATACCTTTAGTTAAATTTACTGTTTATGTCAACTATTTATAATCTTGCCTTTATGATTTATGTGATTGAAAGTTATAACTACGTACTTCTGAATAGTTAGTTAGTTAATTGGTAAAAAAATATATATCATGAACTGTAAAGAAACGGTCAAGAATATGATCAAATAACAGGTATATTAGAAAAAACGTGACCAACTACCTTACATTTGGTTAAATACTACCCAAACAGTCGCAATTCTATTCTCATGTTGGGTAGATATTGGTCTTTTTGGCCAGCTATTAGTGTTGCGCACCATATATTTTAGAACTCAGATAGCACTTGATGATATAATGACGAAAATCACCAGTTATTGACAACTTTTCATCATTGGATAATTCTGTTACTTAACCTGTAACTATTATTTATCGAAATATTTAGAGTATCGAGAGTCCGAGATATACAGTGGGCTAAGGGTCGAAATAGGGGTTAGCGCTTGACTAAAGCAATCCTGCAATTGTTTAAATAAGCTAGCGAAAAGACATATGTCTTGCTTTTTATGGAATCTTTTGGAAAAAATAAACTAAAAATATAAGCCCAGGGCGTGAATGTACGAAGTAAGGAGACAAAAAATCATAATTTAGTAAGACTTATACTGTTGGTCCGACATCTAATAATAGGTGGAATACCTGTGACCTATGTACCTAAGACTTTGGTAAAACTCTTAATCATGATAATTTAGTCGCCATAATGAGCACTCGAAACTCATATATAAGAATTGCGCACGCATCGTTGAGCATACATAAAATCCTTAGGTATGCAGAAATTGTCTGGGCATGCTGGGATGAGAATACCGGCTGACCCGATTGAATATTTGATCTTGGCGACGATTGGCGCGCTACGATAGGACTCGGGACTTAGGACCGACTCATGAATTTCACATGAATGGTAGACACAGGCAGAAAACACCTCAGGATTGGATGTGGTATGATTCGACTAGCGATGATATGTAATTGGCCAGCTAACAAGAGAAGGGATTCATCATACATCGTTCGCTTGATGTTGTGTTATGTCGGCTAGCTCAGATGCTTGCTTTGCACGCGATAATGTAGATATAGAGCATTCCTTTGAGATTTGGGATAAGTGCTCCTACGGCCGTGGCATAGGAAAATCCCCGCGTTTTTAAGGATCAAATGGGTGGCCGTCCTATCTTAGGATCCAAGTTATTACTGGATGTAGAAGCTCTGGAGTTGGACATGCCAAATTTGGTTATGTTGCGAAAAATGAGGATGCTGTTGTGAAACGACCTGTTCTGTTCCTGTTGTTTAAGTAGACTTGTCAATTTGTTACAGATAAGTAACGTAAACACAGTCACGAAGATAGAAGCTCGATTCCGGATGGATGGACGATTGGACGAAGGAACAGATTAGGTAGTGAGTTTTCAAGGCTGGTGGTGAATAGGTAGGTAGGTTCGAATCGCTGCTATTAAGGAACTTAAGCCTTCACTGTAATACCTACATAGTGTGAGGTGGTCTGATAATGTACGTAATGAGGTATGTATCCGAATTCTAGGATCCATCATGTACCTAAATACGAATGAAAGGAACAATAAGGTGTGTACCTAAAATGTTTTCAAAGCATCGAGAATGTTGCGGAGGTGTGGGTGTTCAGCCTCACTCATGCATTATGCAAGTCATAGGGCCGAAATCTAGACTCTGGAGTCCTGGACGAGAAAAAAAGGGACACAAGGTATCGGGTTGACGATAATGAGCTTTGACGAATCTGGGTATATGTGGATATAAGACCTGAAATCTCTTTCTCGAATCTCTTGTTGGAAACGCACGGACAAGCAATTAATTGTCAGTCAGGTCTGTATGTAAGAATTGTCTGTAAGAAGTGCCGAGAGTGATGAAATGATCGAATAGCTCGGCTGTGGAAGCATTCGAAATAATTTGTTCCTCTTGTGCTGCCAGGCTGCCTGGTTACATACTCTTAACGGTTTGACCGTCTGTTGCCGTGTGTTTCTTGTTTCGGGTTTGGCTTGGCAAATTCGCTACTTTACCTTGCTTGGCTGCTTGGGTTGCCTTGGGGTTGCTTGGGCAGTTTTCTTCTTCTCGTGTCTTATCATCTTCATCTTCCTATGCAGCGTGCATAAAGAGAAAGGTTACGTCGCAATGTCAATCTGTAGATCAAGACTCAAGAAAGTACCATTCTTAATTCAAGGTCGAGATTAATTATTGGATTTGTCGAATTGAAGTGAGGATAATGTGCTCGATACTGGATCTTGTTAGGTTGTAATAATGGGTGGCGAAGGCTTATTGGGAAGTTAAGAAAGATGGAGACGGCAGCCAGATTATGGAAGCAAACACCCAGACACCTTGACCGGTTTTGTAACACCTTACTGTAGCAAGTATTAACTATGCTTATGCACAAATAGGTACTTGATATACCGATGCATATCGTGTACGTGCGTAATTGAGTTTCACAACGTGTAGCGCCACATACAATGCACTTGAATGCACTTCAATTAAGCGAAGTAGGGTAAGCGTTAGGAACAATAACTTGTCCTAGGAAAATCCACGCACTTCCCATAAACCAGCTTGGAGCTTATGAACGGATAAACCCGACATAAGTGCAATAAGTGCAAGACGATACGGGTGCGGATAGTTCATAAGCCCATAAAAGGCATAGTCTTCTCCTTTTCTATCATTATGCGGACCAATAAAACGCAACCTGTGGGGAAATACGTATAGAGACGTTCTCGGGAAAGTTTCAGGGGTTAAGTGACAACTTAAGCTCAAGTACTAAAGTAGCTAAAGTACCTAGGTATGTACCACAGCTGAGTGGCTTGACACTACTGCAAGGGGTTTGGAGAAGTCCAATGGGAAAAGCGGATAAGTAGGGGAAAATAGTTCATCAATTGATTAGCCAAATAGGTAGGCAAACAAAAAAGACGAAACTCCAAGGTAATGATGGAGAGAGGTTTAAAATAAGAACGGTTGGAAAATAAAAAGGGTATTTACAGGATAAGAAGAAGGGATAAAATTGAAGATAATTGTGTAACTTGGAGCACGTAAGAGTACATGTACATAAGCGGTGGATAAAAAGATAAGACACTGTGTAAGTGTAACTATTAAGCACGGTGCTGCAGCGTATTTACTTGGACAAATTTCCCCCCTTGTCCGATGTAATTTCCCATCCTCTCGCTTCACATTCTCCTTCTAGTAAAGAGCGCAAGGAGCCTGCCGCCTATCCAAGTTGTATTCCACTTATCTTTATACCCATTCTGCCATTTACGCCCATCTGGTGTATGTATGTACATAACCCATCACCCACTACATACCCACCACCCACCGAGACCTGCTGGCCGCCTGCCAGCTTTTTTTCCTTCAAGACCGCGCGATTGCTACCACACCTGGCCACACTGCATGTAACCACTAACCAGTCACCAGCCAGTCAAGCTACCGGTCCCCCTCCAGTGTAACATCGAAGTACCACATAATCAGGTACGTACATATTCTAAAATACATTAATCGTAGGTACACAACGTATGTACCCAAGTTAAAGTGGGTTCGGTTCCTCTATGACTGGGGGGTCTATCCCGTTCTGGGTTCTTAGCCTCTGTTTCTCACAAACTCACCTCTGCATCCTCGTGTCTTTCTCCCTCTCCCTCTCTCCCTTTCCGACCCTACACCCCGACCTGCCTCTCTAAAGCAAAACAACCCCCATTCCCACACTCCCTAAAGTTACTCAGGCCAGTCAGTCAGTCCACTCGTTTCCTCGTCCGATCTCGACGTGTCTCTCATTTCTCATCTTCTGAATTCGTCGTTTTTGTTCCTTTCCCTCACCTTTACACCGCACCTTCGTAGGCCCTTTTCGCCAGGTCATCGTGACATCGACCTCTTGAACCAAATAAAGAAAAGAGGGTGAGTAGAATTACAACACAACACACGACACTTCCCTTCACCTTCCTCGACTCTAGCACGTTGCCGAATACACGTCCGTTATCCCGAGAACAGATACTTTGTTCCCTATCATTCAACATTTCACTGAACTTCCCAAGGGCTCGTCAAAGGAGATTAAGGCGCTACTTAATAAATAAGGGATTCTAACAAAAGCTATTGATTTAGCCGGCCATTGTTTTATACGTTCCCTTCACCTGTTCAATTGGGTTTGCCGCCGCCGAAAGACCATAAAGAACAACGTACAAATCAATTGCAAACCGACGTCACTGCCACGAATACTATAATCAAAAGATTCGCTATCTCCATTTACATGATCTGGATGACTTCATTGCGATCCAGACTTGTATACAAGTATTAACCGACGAAGATCGAGATACAGTACGAAATACGACAAGGACATTATCGGCTCCCCCTCCCTAGAGGAGATTGAATCCAACCTACATTAGATTCCTATCCTCTCCAGTCGTTGATCGGGTTGAGAGAATTAAGTTTTCGGTAACTTAACATCAAGGTTAATAATTTTCAACATCATGTCACTTCGTCAATTTGCCGTTGCGGCTATCCTGGCCCTAGGTCCTCTTGCCAATGCGAAGAACTTGCAGTCGCCAGCAACGGATCCGATACCGGGAACAGATACCGTCCACGGATGTTATAAATCTTTGGGAACGTTGAAGCATCAGCAAACAATCCAATTCAACTCGCAGGGTGCATGCGCAGGCCTGTGCCGCGACAATGGTAGCCTCGTGGCTGCTTCTAATACGGAAGAGTGTTACTGTGGTGACCAATATCCTAACAAAAGCGACTTAGTTGATGATTCTGAATGCACCGAACCATGTCCCGGGTTTGGCTCGCAAGCATGTATGTAATGTTGATGATCTTGTATTAAGTGCCATACTGACTTGCCAATAGGCGGTGGTCTTGATACTTACACGGTCTACAATACCGGAAAGAAGGTATCAGTTGGTGAGGCACCGGCCTCTAGTTCTTCCACTTCAACTCCATCGAAGACTAGTTCAAGCGTTTCAGACGCCCCAGCCAGTACTTCTGGTATGCGCCTATTCACTATTTCTCGTTAGATCATGAGTTTGTGCTAATTATGTCGTAGATATTACCGAGACCGTAACAGCCTCTACTGAACCCGAGACGGGCTCCGGAACCAATGTCGCCGGTATTGCAGCTGGTGTTGTGGTTGGTGTTGTTGCGATAACTGCTTTTGGCGGCGCAGTTTTCTTCTGGTTGCGTCGAAAGAGAAACGCCGAGATTGAAGAAGAACACCGACGAAATGCTGCTGTCAACGCGTTCATTGGTGGCGGAAAGCCTCCCAGTAGCAGCGGCGGTGTTTCGATGACCGACTCTCGTCTCGACCCTGTTATGAACCGACGAATGAGCGACGGTAGCATCGCTGACAACCAAGATTACTCGCGAAGAATTCTAAGGGTATGAGTTTCTGTCGGCTCCAAAGTGGTAACGCGGGCTAATTAATTTTCCAGGTTACCAATGCTTGAACCCATCGCAGATATCACGATGAACGACTTCCGCTTGTAACACTTTTTATTCACATCGGCATCAACGGCGTTTCATGGTGGCCATTCGTCATTGGATGATCGATCAGACTAGACGATCCCTGGCGTTATTTGTATTGAGGTGTAAGGAATAACATATTGGGTGGTTACAATATAGGACGATACTCCCCGGCCTTGCTACTACCGACGAAAATTTCCTACGCCGTCCTCTCCTTTTTCTTTTGCACGTTGTTGACCGGCCGTGTCACAATTTGCAGTTCGACATCAACTTCGGAATTTCTCGCGAGATCTATTAGGGCCCGGGCCCAAAAGGAAGATAGGCTGCATCCGTCATAGGGCGATATGCATTTTGGGTGCTGTGCTACGCGAGATAGTTAATTAAAAAAATGAAGCCAGAGGTCTAGCGGCGGCCTAGGGGAGTTTTGAGCGGATGTAACCGCCCTGTGCGCGAAGAGTTCTGATAGAGGATTAGGCATTAGTGATCATTGAGAGGACTTTGCTGTATATTATTCAGATAGTCCAAATGACTAGGCATTTGCTCGTGGACTTTGGTATATACGTGTGTATTGTAGTTCTGTTTGTACATGTTACTTTTGTAGGTTTTTCTAATGACTTTTTCTAATGACGTTTATCAAGACTAGTTACCTGTTGTAATATTTCGTGAAATACTGAGAGTATTATCGTAAGTACATAATTAAGGGTTATACCTAGATGCCATGTTACTGGTAACATTACGTCGAATCCGGGGTAATCGTCAATATCAATTTTTAGACGCCAAATACCTACACCAGGTTTGGCCAGTCACGCGTAACTGCTATCACCAGTTCAGGTCAGATGGGCTTCTAGCAATCTATCCGCTAGGTAAGGTAGGTAGGTACCTAGGTACCTATGTTTGTGAGGCAGCCGGCTGGCAATGATGATCAACCCGGCCAAGCGCGAATGACGCTGTGGGGATCGTCAATTCTGAAACCGGGCGAATGAATACATGTACCTATCTGTAAGTGCTGCTTGTTAGTGGTATGTACGAAGTACCTAGGTACATCTGTATGGAGCTAGAGCTAGCTTAGTCAGTACAGCTAAAAGTCACGTGGCCCCAAGTTTTTGAGCTATCCATAGCTTCGTCGCGTTAGTCAATTGTCTAAATCGCGACTTCAATTCCAACAACCGCAATCGTCCTGACAACATCTACTTGTCTACATACCTTAGTTTTACATCACGTCTTATCCTTGATTGAAGATCCCTTATGACGTGATGAAATTCTAGGTGGGTATGAACCTGGGCCTACTGAAATATCCGGTTCCCTGTTGTCCTGCTTCTCAACAACCTTGAACTCTTTGGAAATAGCTACATCTGAAGCTCTGCTCACCATCATCATGGCCCCAACCACAGTGCCTCGCGTTCGCCGGACTGCGCAGAACACTCAGTATACGTACATCTCCCCAAAAAGGCCTGCATCCCTCTCTTTCTGTCTAACTTCAGCTTCTTAGGTATACCCTTCCCCGTCGCATCCATGCTGTTCAGACCTACCCTGTTCTCTCGCCCCAGGGCGCGACTATCTTAATATATGGTCACGAGAGTGGTATCACAATAATATGGCGTGGAGGACGGCGATTTAAACCCGAAGTGTTTAAAGAAGCTGAGCGTGGCCCTACAGCTAAGCAGAATGGCAACCCCCCTGCGGATGCCGTCATGATCATTGATTCTGACGATGAAGATACTGCGCCCGCTGGGAAGGGAGGATCGTTCGTTGATGCGCCGCAGTTCGAAGAATCGCTCGATGACGACGTGCCATACCCCGAAATTATTCAAACCCTCGACCTGGAATTTGGCACTGCTGTCTTTCATCTTGCGGCATTGCCCTTAACACCTTGTACGGCAGAAGATGCTGCATGGGGAGGTACGGATATCTTAAAGGATAGGATGGTGTTCGCTGCCTCGTGTTTGACTCGTGAGGTCTTCCTCATTACCTTACCCCTTGTTCCACCATCCCCCCTAAGCAAAGCTCGAGCCGAGCTGCAAGAGAATCTCCTAGCAGGAAAGGCTGGCAATGGCAAATGGGGTGAGACTATGACACTGCTAGCCGGTCAAATAAAAGGCAGTGATTCCTTAGCAATGACGCTCATTAGACCAAAGACCGTATCGGAACGTAGCAAGTCGAGCGAACGATCGCGTTCAGAGTCTAGTGCGCTACCTCGCGTCGTAGTAGCCGCTCATTCCCCCGAAGCTTCTGGCGCCCTACGACTATGGGACGTGCCCCTAGAGGATTCATCCAAAACAGGTCGACGGATCGAGCCGTTCCAAACCGAATTCCTACCCAAACCCCTTGCTTCTATCTCCTTTAACCCTACTCACTCAACCCAACTTCTATGCAATGCGTCGCCTGAAGCCGTTAGGATATACGACTATGCGCTTGCCTCGATGCCTCCTGACGATCTATCCGAGGGACCATTCCCTTCGCAAGGCTCTTGGCTCATTTCGTTCTATCCCCCTTTTGCCCGACCCTCTTCATCGCGGAAACCGATACTTGCGGCTTCGTGGATTGCCCATGGTCGTGCTATTCTCGTTCTCCTTGCGGATGGTCAATGGGGCATTTGGGATATCGATGGTGTTTCCCCTCAAGGACCTGCCCTGTTTGGCAAGCCCGGGTCTGGTATCCGCGGTGACGCATTAACGGAATTTAACGTCTCTGGATATGTCGAAGGTACAAGCCCTCTACGAAACCCTGCCTCCCAACGGGGCTCGAGTGGTAGTTCTGATTTCGTACCTATGACTCCTCACTCTAGACGCGATGCTCTCACAACTTCCCATGGACCTGAACGTTTTGCACCAGTTAGGGGAGGTATCGTGGTGACGTCGCTACCAGCCAGTGCAACTACGACGGCTGACGAGAGCGTTGCCTTGTGGATCGGAGGTGCTGAACATATTTTCGTCATACCCGGTGTTCTTAAATTCTGGGATGCACAAATTCGTAAGGGTGCTGGCGGTGGCGTCAACCTCTTTAGTGGAGCGCAGCCAACCCGTATGGTACGATTAAACGATTTAAGTGTCGGACTAATGGGCGAACGTTGCACCGGTGTTGGTGCCATCGTCCGCTTTGTTGAGAACGGCGACGCAAGCCTATCTGGAAACGAAGGCTTGCCCGTCGAATTGTTAGTATGTGGCGAGGGAAGACTTGTGATTGTTAGGGAGAGCGAGACGGTTGTCGGCACTAAGATTGGCGGAGTCATCGGTCGTCGGAAGAGACCAAGCGATCGCGTAAAGGAGAACAGCGCCATCGTTGTCTATCCTCGACCACAACAGCCCGGTAGCGTTGCTTACAACCTCTCTGTTGGTCCTAAAAGAAAGCTCTCGAAACTTGGGATGGAAGGTCTATTTGGTGAATCGCCTTCGAACGATAGCACTGCGCAAGCTCAAGCGGAGCACAGGCCTTTACAATTGCCAACAAGGCCGAGAGGTGGATTCGCCTTTGCAGACAGCTTGAATGCTGCTGCCGACGTCGAGCAACAGGAGCTGGAAGACGAAAGAGATGTGGAGGTAGAGATGCTGGATATAATGGAAATCGACCGCGAACTGGATGCTCTTGATAACGGACGAGGCCGAGGCCGTAAGAAGGTTATCTTCGACTCATAAGTCCAAACATTTCATATCGACTGATGCGTCCTACACTGGTACTACCGAAAGGGGGTTGGATTTAGATATGATGTACGATACCCCCTTGCTGACGCCCGGGAGTTTAGGAATGACATTCATCATGGAAGGTAGTAAATCGGGAGCATTACTCAAGGACCCTGTTCTGTCATGATATTTCATCTATGAGAAGTTTGCTAAACGTGATCTAGATTTTGACAGTCCCTCGTCTCTGGCATCTTTCTTTGTCCCATATTCCATATTCCTTGTCAATAGTTCTGACTTGACAGTTCCCCGTATTTTTTATTTGCCTTTGTCGAACCCTTTTTCTTTTCCGCGCGGCCAGGTGGAGCACAAGGCGAGAACCTTCCTTGAAGCTCTGTAATCCATGCGGTACATTGAACGGGACACTCTGCTCTAGTGTCCCAAGCGTCATTATCTTTTTACACATGGCGCGCGCCGACGGTTCCAGGAGGGAACATTTGGGAGGGGGCTTGGGTTGGTTCGGATTTCTATGCGAATTGACCGTTTGCCCTCCCGCCCTTAGACGGCCCTGCTATCTGTTCTACGCGATGCGCGAAAACGGGGGGCTGAGATGGGGGTGGGAGACGGGATCGTCGGTACATTTTATATTTTATATTTTATACTTAGGGCTATCTTTGGTGGTGGGATGATTGGGGATTTCTCTTGAGAACCTTATCATTGTTCTAAGTATTGCTACTGTGTACCTAGATAGTTTGTCATCAAGTGATGGCATGGCCTATGTGACTGCATGCTCTGATAATTTGGATCGGCTACTGAAAGTAACTGTTCGGTCTAACTTTTTTGTGAAATGGGTTTAAATGGCGTGAGGTGAATTAGTACCTGGTGGATTGGTACCTAGTGAGTTTTACTTATATGGACTTCTGGGGTAAGGGTTCCAGTTGCTTTCGACGTGCTGCTAGCTACAGGTAAGTACCTAAGTCTTGCGCGGACTAAACTGCCCTTGTGGCTATTGAAATCACACATAAAAGCCATTATTAACCCCCTCCCCCCCCCGCGGTGTTTAATAACACACCCTCTTAATACACAAGACTATCTTTAGCTTGTTTGACAAATGCCCCGTTCCTGATGGTTGAGAAGTAGCGTAAGAGTTAGTTGAAGTTTCATTACTATTAGTACCGGTAGTCTCTCGCTTCTAACTTACCTACCTCCTATGTTTGGCAATCTGAAAATCTAGGGGTTGGCATGTCAACTTCAATACGCGAATAGGATAACCTTCCCTCTCAATAGATATTCAATCGGGTTAAACACGACGTGGTAAACGAAAGGATGTGCTAGATTCCTACCATAGCGGAAGAGGGGGGTTTGGGAGAATGATTTTAAAACTGGAATGGTTTTGTACAACGCAACGTTTTTAGGTTTTAAAAGCTTTAATTGGTTAGAATTTAAAAATAATAAGTTTTAAACTTGCTTTTAAAATCTTATTTTATAAAAATTGTTTTATAACCGTAAAATTATTTTATTTTATATAATTGTTTTTAAAATAAAAATAATTATTTAATTTTTAATTTTAAAAAAAAAAATTTTTTAATAAAAATTTTAAAAACATTTTTTTTTTTTTAAATTAAAAATTTTATTTTTTTATTTTTTCCGAAGTAAAAGTTATAAAAATTAAAATTAATTAAATTTTT